GCTTGGCGTGCGGGTAGCTCCGCTTGAAGCTCTTGGCGTCCCGCGTGCGGCCGAGGTTGGACTGAGAGTAGGCCATGGGGCTGACGCAGGGATTCATGCCGCCGTAGGGGCCCAGTCCGTTCATGGCAGCCGGCTGCCCCGACATGGCGCCCAGCCCTCCGGGGCTCAGCGCCGCGCCCATGGCCGCCACGCCGGCCGTCATCCCGTTCACCGCACCCGCAGAGCCCGCCGGCATGGCGGCCACCGCTCCGGGACTCAGCCCGGCTCCCAGCCCCGTGTTGGCGTAGGACATGTTGAAGGAGCCGGAGGTCATGTTGCCGCTGGTCGTCATGGTGTTCATGCTCATGTAGGTGTTCATGGTGTTCATGGAGCCCAGCCCCGAGTTCATGTTGCTCACGGGGACCGAGGAATAGGCCTAGGGCAGCGAGACGAGAGAGGGTTAGCATGGAGCCCGGCACCACGGAGCCTCCGAACCCGCCCAGGACGATCGCCGAGAGCCCGAATCCTCGTGACGGGAACGGAAAGAGACCGTTCGGTGCCGCCGAGCTCAGCCCCGGCACCGCGGGCCCTCAACTTGGTCGCCCCGAGTGCTGCAGGGCTCTGCGGGCTCCGTGTCCCGTGTTTGAATCCGTCCGATTACTGCAATCTATGGGCGCACGCCGGTGTGCTAGGGAAAACTTTCCCGGAATAACCGCACGAAGGTCTCCCTCCGCGCTGATTTATATTTCTGTTCCTACAGATAGTGTCTTGTCACAAATAAAAATATTTGAAAAAAAAAAAATTATCAGCTCTGTCTGCACATAGTACCTGTGGAAAGCTGCCCCTGTTAGCATTTCCGAGTCGGGCTTAAAGTTCAAACCCACGGCCCCAGCCTTCGAGAAGGACGCCGAGCTCCGGCTCCCAAAGCACGGGATTCTCTGTAGCCCCCAACGTAGGGTATCGCAGCCCGATCCCTCCTCACCGCTCTCACAAAATGCAGAACCTGGAGCCCCCAAAATGTGCGTTCCGGGTCCGCATCTGATTTCACGTGAGGGAGAAGGGCTCTGCAAAACGCGTTCCCGTTCACCTCGAACAAAGGCAATGCGGCCGAGGAAAGGTTGTTAGGCGCGGGTTAAGCGCTCTGTAACATTCCCCATTATTCCCTACATATTCCGCGAACTTCTCAATGCGGTTTGAATTTGGAGGATCTCAGTAATTATCCGAAGGGCTCAACACTGTGGGGCTCCCACCTCACACCCAAACAGCGATTCCAGTTCAATAGCACAGGAGGAGAAAAGAGCGGGGCTAAAAAACAGCAAAAGGGCAGGTCGTGTAATTTAAGGTGCGTGGACAACGAGCATGGCGAGGAAAAACGAGCGCGGTATTGACACCCCACGGGGATGCCCCCCTTTTCTCTGAGCTCTCCCCGCTGAGGAGGTAGCAGCGAGGTAACAGTGGCGTGGCAACGGGGTGGCCGTGGGGTGACACAGAGCTGTGCGGCCCTGCAGGCGTGGGGACGGCACCGTGTCCGGGTGCGCTGATGCAATGCCAGTGCGCACCTCGCGGCTCCCGCACTTCCTTAAAGCGGCTCCTGCCCGGGCACCGCTCCCGGTTCTTCCACGGTGGTGCCACGCTGCTTTCCCTCGCGGACCCCCGCAGAGGCCAGGCTATACCGGGGCCTGGATCACGGCGCTCCCCGGCCCTCTCCTAACGGCCTTCGGGCCGCTCCTCTCACACCACGCCGGAGCACGGGGGGGGCCCGGAAGCGGCTGCCGGGTGCCGCGGGTCGGCGGCGGGCGGCCGGGCCGGGCCCCCTCCGGGTTCCCCGGCCGCTCTCCGCAGCGCCGCCCGCCGGTATCGGGGAAGCAGCGCCCACCGCGGACTGGCTGTCTCGCAAAATCCGAACAAACGGCGATTTATTCTTTTTCTCTTCCTTTCTTTTCTCTCGGCTCTAACAGGTGAGGCCCCGGCGGCAGCCAGCAGCGTGGGGCCCCAGGGGAGGGGGGGGAGGCGTGGGGAGTGTGCTGCCCTCGGCCCGGCGCGCCCTGCGCCCGTGCCATATGCAGTGGGGAGTGGGACGGCAACGCAGCGGTCCCCTGCTCCGAACCAGGAGTTCTCTGGGGCGAGCTCAGCGCTGCCCCCCCGGTTCTCCTGCGGGCGGTGCGGAGTTTCTCGGGGCGGCTTGGCCGAGGAGAGACACGATGGCGCTGGCGGGAGCCGCAGCGCGAAGCGATCCCCCCCTCTCACTGCCCCCCTCCGCACCCCGGCCCTCCCCAGTCCCCTCTCCTCCCCCTCGGAGGTACAGCGGACCTGGGACTCGCTCACCTCCTGCGTGTCGGCGTAGTAGCTGTTCCAGTCGCTGGTCTCATGCCCTTCCATTTTCACAGTCCCTAACATTATGGAACCAACCTGCCCGGTGTAACCATCCAGCCCTCTTGCAAGCGAGCGACGGGTGGCAGGAAAAGAGCCCAGGAGGCCGACCTAGCAGGAAGCCAGCTCCCAGGAGGGGCGGGAGTGCCGAAATTGCCTCTATAATGAAGTCAAAAAGGAGGCAGGGAGTGGTGCGGGGCGAGACAGTCGAGAAAGTGAGGAAGTGCCGGCTGGGATGTGAGTGGAGTTGAGCTGATGTGGATCTTACGTCGCACAAAGTACCCTCCTCCTCCTCTCCCCATTTGTCCGCCTCACAAAGGCGTTCGCACCTACAAAGCCGGAGATGCACCTGCCAGCGAGGCAGCTCCCCTCGCCTGCGGCTCCCCCCGGGGCGGCACTTTATTTGCAAAGCGGCGTAATTGGTTTAAGCTTGCGGGGAAAGAAGGAGAGACGGAGGTGGGAGAGGGGAGGGAGGAACTCCCCCCTCGTAGACGGACAGGACAAGCTCTAGGAAGGCTCACTGGAAATGAAATGAGGTAGATAAGGGAAGGGCAGTCCCCTCTGTTTGAATAGAATGCTAAAGGCCATCCAGCCCTAAAACTCCGAGATTAGGGGCCATATTTACTGAAGTCTAGTAGATGCTCCTCTAATAAAATGGCAGGGAAGTCCTCGCACGCTTCCCCTCTTTCTCCCGTCGAGGCACGGGGGTTCGATCCGGGTCCCCGAGCCCTCAGCCCGCGGAGCCTTCCACCCGGGAGTGTGACGGTGATGGTGATGGTGATGGTGATGGAGATGATACCTCTTTCTTGTTGTCTTACTTTTAGAAACTCTATGAGTCACCGCGCTGAGCGGTAACACTCTAGACACCCAATAAATGCGGACAGAGACTCGAATGCGAATCCACAGAGGTCAGCCTCCGCCTGACAAACACCAGGTGAGTCATGGAACCATTTTATTTCTTTTCTGGCGAAAACCTCCAGGCCAGAAGGCTGTTTGAGAGCCTTGGAGAGCCTTCTCTGGGGCCGGGCACCAGGAAGCACCATTGCCTTCTTCCCAGCTTCTCTTGTGGAAAAAGGAGAATCTGCATAGGCTGGAGGGCGAAAAGGGGCCACAGAGATAAAGTAAATGGATATTGGACAAAGCTCTTTAAAGTATGGAACCTTAGTCTTCACAGACGGATCTAACACGCTCCCATTCTGTCCCTGCCCTGCCCGGCTCTTCGAACTTACACCAAGACCGCCGACTGTTACTGGGTTTCTTGCTTTGCGCTTTTTCGTTCCAATCGACATTTACCATCTGATAGCGAAAAAAAAAAAAAAAGAGTAAACAAACCCAGAAACAAAAATAAAACACGCCACACACACGCCAACGAAGCAAAACATAAAACCCCAAACTCAAGTAGCTGTTCGTGGAATGGCAATTTGAAGGGGAAATAAAGGTTGTTGGGATTTTGAAAACCTTAGGCGTACCATATGACACAAAATACAATGCCTGGATCTGATTTTTTTCCGGGCGTTTATCGCCCAGCTCCTGGTGCTCCCACACCAGTGTGTACTCCAAGGCTCTGCGAGGACGTCACCGCCACAAAAACGTTCTTTAAAAGAAGTTTATCATACAGAGACGCGGGACCGAAATTCCAAGTTATAGGTTATCTCCTCCTCGAGAACAATGTTTTAACTTGTCCTCTGAGTTTTCTGCTCTCCCTTTCTTTGTTCTTTCCCTCCTGTCTCGCCCCTTCCGTCCCCCTCCCCCCCGCCCCCCCCTTTTTTTTTTTCTTTAAATCTGGGAACAGAATTAAGTCAAATCCCTGAAACAGACGCAAACCTGGAATAATCCAGCTAGAAAAAGGGATGAGAATGTGTTTTCAAGGAAACAAAATTAAAAAGGTAAAAGCAGCGAGTTAAACTTCTCAAGTGGTCAAACTGCACAAATGGAGATCGGATAAAAACCCAGAGGAAAATCTAACAGATACTGAAATTGCGGTCTTTATGTATGCACCCTCTCTCTTTCCCTAGTGGAAACAGTCTGAACACAGAGACCCTTCGGTACCGGCTCGCTCAGCCCGGTGCTCCGGCTCCGTTCAAAGCCTCCCAAAGGGAGGGAGGGCTCCGGCAGCCCGCTGCCCGCCGCAGGGTGACCTCGGGGCGGTGCTGCCGCTTCCCAACACGGCCCCGCGAGAGCAACGCCCGGCGGGACGCGGGCAGCCTGTTCAGGGCTCGCCGTGTGCCGGGAGGGCAGCAGGCACGGACCCCACGGGCGGCACGTAGCTCTACGCTGGGGCACACGCTGAGTCGCGCTGACAGTGCCGTGCTGAGCAGTGCCGAGCGGTGCGCGGAAGCCGGGGTTGTGCAAAGCCGCAGCGCCTCCTGTTGTCCGGCCGCGGCTTCCTGCTCCTAACGTTGCCACTGAAGGTGAGACTCAGGCAGGCGGTCTGTTATCTTCTTAGAAGAGAGCGTTTCAGCTTATTGCACAGATGGATCAGTGCGCCTCAGGCAGTGACAGCCGGTCCTGGAAATCCCCCTCCCAACCCCGGCGGCCAGAAGCCTCCCGTGTGCGCAGCAGCGGAGCGCGGCGGTGCGGTGCTTCCCGTCGGGCCGGGGCTCAGCGCTGTGAGGGATGCGCGGGGACACCGGCGCGACGGGACTGTATCCTTCCGCAGCCCCCGAGGGGAGGGGAGAGCAGGGCTCTGCGGGGATGGAGGACATAGAAAGACTTCTGCCATTCTAGCCGTTAGAACAGTAATCGCGGCCCCAGAGCCTTTCCCCGAATCTCGTTAGAGCAATGCCGTTTTGTCGGTTTCTCATCAAGCTGTACCTGCTACATTTTTTTTTGGCCGTGGGATGGCATCAGGGCCGGCACATTGCAAGATCTCCGCACAAACCGGGAGACCCGGCCCCGCGCTGCTCGGGCACTGACCCACTCGTGGAATGGGAGAGGGAATAGGCGACAACTATCATTTTGACTTCATGGGGCGGATGGGACAGCGCTACTTCAATCCGCTCCTGCGTAAGAGCTCCTTTTCCTCTGGAAGAGGCAGCTCTTAGTTCAACTTGTAGGGTCTTGCTTGATTATTTCCAGTGGACGGGAACCTCTCGGCAGCGTCCGTGCGGGGCAGGTTTCAACCTCGGGAAGGAACCGCGAGACTGCATCAGAATGCCTTCCCTGTTCATCTCTGTCCGGACGCCTTTCCGTTTCCCCGGCTCTGACTCCTACCCACCCATCCCTCCCGGCAGTAGGAAATTCCCGTTCCACCCGTTTCCGATCTGGAATCCCCCCCCCACGTAAAAGTGAACACAGGAATCGCGTGCGATCGGTGCTCGCAGCCGGATGAAAGCCCCTGGACGCTGTCAGCGGCGGCGGCGGCCGGCGGCAGCCCCGCACCGAGGGACGCACCGTGCAGTCCCCGCCGGCCTTTGCCTCCCCTTCTTCGCCCTCCCTGAGCAGCGGGGCCACTCTTCGGCCACAGCAGCGCCGGTACGGAGCTCCCACTCGTACCGGGGCGCCCGGGGTCTTATGCATGGAGCACGTTGCCTTCCACGAGGCCCCGAGGACGCTGCAGCAGCGACTTGACGCTGCTGGATTTTGATTTGTTTCATTTTATTTATCTTTGTTATCTATTATGTTATTACTCTGTTTCAATTTATTTCATTTCTTTTTATTTTTCTCTCTTTTTATTTTTCGTTACATTTCCTTAACATTCATTACGTTTCTTTTTTTCAGGCATCATTCAGCACACAGGTAGCGACTTGATACACTCCTGACATGGAAAAAAATATGTTGCCTACACCCAAAAGCCCTCATATATCACAGCCCAGTTAAAGGAGAAAGAAGCACAAATAACGAATTGAAAAGCTACATATAACCTACTGTCCGACGGCCACAGCATTCAGAGTAAGGAAGTCCCTGGGTTTGGTTTACTTTTTTCTTCAGTGCAGCAATATAGTTCTTAAGCGGGTAAATCACACCCCGGTGTATTCAGTCACTTCATTTTTGTTAATAGGGCTGGCTGTGGGCTTGCAGAAGTTGAGCAAGCAGGATGCCCACCCTGCTGTGTGTTGTTGGCAAAGTCTGTTTTACTCTTCATAAAAATAAATGCATTTCATGCTTCTCACTTGAATCAAGAACAGCCATATTGTATGCATTTCAATTAGTGGGTGTATTATTTATGTTATATTTCCTGAAACACGAGTGGCAATGCTTCTGATGCTTATTTTAATCAGTGTGCCAATTCTGATGCAGCCACTGTCCCTTTCTGAAATTTTTGTTTGCAAATTTTTTAAAAACCATATTTTGTTTCAAAGTAACTGCAGTAATACAGCACAAAAGAAGCAGTATCAGAGGAGATGGGACTACACACAGATAAACAAATCTACTTCAATGGCACCCAGTTTGTAGAGTTTCACCTGAATAGAAAAATTAATTTTTTAAACAATTTTTTAAAATAAAACATACACAGACTTCTGCAACATAAATATAAGGAATAAAGAAATCAAAGCCTGCACAGTTAATCTACATAAACCAGTATCAGAAACAAACCTTGGGAGGAGACACACTTTTGTGTAGAACCTAGAGCTGGGACAGTGACTTCGTGGACCACTGTCTGTCCATCTTTTCCAATATTATTTGCTGATTGAACAAAAGGTATTTTCATACCCCATGAATCTTCAAACACTGTGATGAGTTCTCTGGGAGAATATCTGTTTCCCTGATATAAGCCAAATATTGCTGTACTGGTCAACTGATGCAGAGCTGATCAGCGACTTGGGATATTCACGTCAACAGAAACACATCAGTTCTTCTGCAAACTGACCTTCCTATGCAGAAGATTGAATTCGCAACTTGGATTTAGCACCACATTTTTAATTTTTCCCCCCCATTTTCCTTACCAAAAAATAAATAAATGAAATAAAAGATTATTTTCCCTTCTCTTTGTCTACAGTAGTTTTACAGAAGATAGAGAGCAGTATCCACTATAAATAGCTTCCTTGACTGCCTTCAGCTCTGAAGAATCAAATGTATAAAATCAAGGCTGGCTTACTTAAAGTCCTCCCCAGGGAGCAGTTCTGCAGTGTTACTTGGCTTGCACTTCTTAGAACACAAATTAGTTCTGTCTGTATTAACTGCACCTTTTTTGAGCTGCGTTAACAAGGACACCCAGAAACTGTGGGATATGTGGCAGTGTGTGATCACATACATACAGAAACACTTTGGCCATTTTCTCCTTCATGGGACATGCATGATATCTGCCCTGAAAAAGGATGCATAGAGGCTCTATGTAACAATGTCCGATAGTTGTACATTTTATGTTGAAAGTGAGACTCTAAACAGCATGAAATCATAAGCAAGACTTGTAAAATAGGACAGTCAACTCACTTCTATGGGAAAGTAGAGGGTGATCTGGATTCAGAAGCGTTTTGGGACTCCTCAGGAGCAGCGGTTGTTCAGCAGTTTGGAGAGTGGCTGGCTCACCCAGCAGTTGGTCTGAACTTCAGCTGCTCTTCAGGCATTTTGGGGGCGAATCTTCCTGCTGAGCAGATTTAAAGCAATGGCAACAGGAAGGTCACTTTTCTCATCACATGCCTTCCCTTCTGCCTCCACACAGACTCTGATCTCTGTGCAACTACTGGCGAGACAAGGAGAGCCAGGTTGGGCAGATGCAATTCATTCCTCCTCCACCCTTTCCCAGGCAATGAGGCAGGTGTCAGAATATTCCTGAAGTTCATGTGGTTTCAGGGTTACTCCTTTTTAGGTAGTAACTTAAGGTAGGATGACTGGGAGAGAATCCAGCGCTGCTTTCCTTCATCTCCTCCAAAGAGAAACTTAGTCTTCCAGCCCAATAATTTCATTGCTAGATGAAGGTGGCTTTCTTGTTATCTGTTGAACTTACAATCTTTTGCCTTTTTTCAGGATCAATACCAAGGAATATTCCATTCACTACTCGCTCTGTGTTTTTTTTTTTAACCTTTCCCTTAGATACAACAGAAACTTCAGCCTCTGCAGATCTCTCTTTTCACCCCTTGGAGGACATGTCCTTTTGCTGAAGAAATAGAGCAGATGTGAAAATTTTTCTTGTGATTAAATGGGATTTCTATGTTCCCCAATGCTGATACTCCAGCTGTGAAACCTACGAGATCTACAAACACACAGACTTGTATCTTTCTATATATCCACAGTCAAGCTGCTGTCCTACGAGAAAAGAGGAGTTGGACAGGAATAGGGGTCTGGAAAACCTGCTGTTTTCTAGTATTAACTGAAAGACAATGGAGAACAGAGATAATATGGTCAAATTTTAGAACTAAAGCAAGTAAAGGGCTGAACCCAACAAAGACTTCGGCAGGTGCTTTGCTGTAATTTCTCTGTTTATTGCTTACAGCCCTTTTTAAAGCCAGGAGTGCCTCTGACCTTGTGCCTATAATAAAGGCTGTGAGTGATGGGCTGCTAGAAAAAACTCATGTAATTTCTCTTGGGCTCTATAATAAAATGGCACATAACTGAAAATATTACAGTATCATCATACCAAAAAATAAACCTGGGATTCATGATCACTCAAGACAACCTGATTTTATCATTTCAAGTATAGTTGAAAATGAAAAGGTTTCATCTTGTTTCCATCTTCTTACTGCATTTTATTTTGAATTATAAGGGAAACATCATTATTTAAACAAAGTCTTTCAATTGTGTGGGGGGAAGCAAAGCTCAAAATCATAGGAGGAAGAAAAAATTTAACTACTTCTTCTGGCTTAGTACCAGCAAGTACAGATATCACACAATCACAATGGAGATTAGTAGGGGCTGGGTGTGCGTATTTGTAATGCGTCAAAGAGAGGATATAGTGATTAGAAGCATGACGATGCTTTCAACACTCACAGAGGGATTGAATGTATGATTTATAATACTAATTCTGCAAAACCTTTCTATGCTTGTGCTTACTGCTCAAGGGATTCAGCATGGATTGATCACCGAAAAAAAAAAAGGTGTTTTCTTCAGCTCAGCTGGATCAAACTCTTGCGACTAATCAAAAGCCTTTTCAGTATTGACACTGTCTGATCTAAGAGATTGTTTGCTACCTACATCTTTACTCCATTGTTCTGCTGCAGATTATTGTTCCTACAGTGTAATTGTCATAAAAGTTTGTTCTGTGTCCACAGTGGCAATACTTCACTGATCGGTATTTTAGATGATAATCATTTGATTTTCTCTGCGTATTTATGGCCATTTTTATACATATATGTGTTGGAAACATTAAAACAAAGATGTTGATGCCCTTAAAGAGCAAGCAGTAACCCATAATCTGAGTTCCTGGTCTCTGAAATGGTATACTGGACACTGATAAATAGCCTTGAATGAGTGAGTCTCCTTTTGAGGCAGGGCATGCTTTGGCTGTACCAAAGGGAGATCAAGAGCACCCAGCAGAGCTGCTGAGAATTTATGCTTTTTCAGGTGAAAAAGTTTTCACAGCCAGCTGCAGCTGGATGTTAAGGTGAGGCCCAGCCTCTAGTGGCTATCTGGGTGTAAGCCACAGAACTAACAACGTAATTCTGCCCTTACTTGCCTTTCCTTTAAGTGATTGCTATTTAGCTTCACAGGAACTCTTTCTGGCATTGCTGGGCAGCACATACCAGGTTGTGCATATTTCATGTGCTTTCTTCCCCTTATTCACAACTGCCAAGATCAAGATGGCTTCCAGAGAGCACAGTGCTTACTCCTGATTTCATGTCTGCGTCCTTCCAAAGCCTGAGGGACAATGCCATCAATGTTTCACTCCAGCTTGAAATTGTATTATGGCAAATGTGTGCACCGGGGTGCGGACTCAGATGATAAATGAGAAAAGAAGCTGCTTTCTGACCTTTTTCCAACCAACAAAAACAATTTTTAATAACTGCTTTTCTTCCTAGAAAGAAAAAAAAAACCACAATTCTCTGTAACATTTATGGACAAATAACCTAGATGGCAAAATTTATGTGATATTAGAAAGCTTAGTGATCTGGTAAGATGTAATTAAAATAAATAATAATAATGTGTACCAAGGGAATAAAATTGCACAAGGTTTTCCAAAGCTAGATCCATTTGCTCAGTATAAGGATTCATCTGCTCATTAAATTTTGGACTTTGCATGCTACATAGATGAGGCTTAACCTGTTTAAATAAATACTTCACATTAATAAAAAAAAAGAGAACTTGCTGGTCTCAAGCGGCACTGTGATTATGAAAGGAGGGGAACATACTAATAATACCTGGGGAAATGGGAGAAAGATTTCCATTAATTTCTGTGTATTGGGGCTCATTGTCATCTTCAGAGCTCAAGCTGAGGGTCTAGAGGATATACTTACTCCTGGGTTGAATGCTAAGCAATGTGTGGGGCTTAGCAGGTAAAATACGTCACATTTTGGATTTAACTTGTCATCAGCCACCCTTGGGTGCTAATTCCCTTTGCTACAGAACTGAGAACCTCAATGCTGTAGCACAGGAAACATTTTTGAACTACTGCTTGAACCTTTCATGCAACTTAACTGCATCTTCCTGTAGCCAGTCCCTGCTTTACTACAAGCAGAGCTGATGAATAGCAGACACAGTAAGATAATACAGAATACTTGTTTTCCAGCTGCACACGACCACTTTACCACAGCTATTAACCTGAAGAAGAAATCCATGCCTAAGGATTTTTTCTCCTTTCTAACATTTCTTTTGATGCAAATACTTCTTGCCATTCAGCAGCTCCTTCCTGGAACTTCCTGATGCAAATACCTCTTCACATGCAGGGCTTTTCCTCCTGCGTCCCACTGTGACTCCTGCAGAGAGGAGCTGCTCTCAGTAAACCAAATTGCTGGGGCTTCACTGGCTGTGTAACTAGTTTGGAATTGATCTTCCCTCTCGACTCAGAACTACATTAAACTGCTGATCAGGTTTATCTTCAATGAGGGAATTAAACACTTTCATTCCTGTTCAGAACATCTCCAATATTTTGGACAGGCAGTGGGAATCCTTCCACACAGAACAACTGCTTTCTTTTCCACCCACTCCTCTTCCTGCAATTCTGATATTCCTGCTAGGGAGCACGAGAAGTTAAGTAATATTAAATAGATAGTGTTCCTAGGGTGTGTTACATGGCTTTCATCAGTTATCTACAATAAAAAAGAAGAAAATCTACTTTAAATTTGGTTTTAATGTGGCTGGCTAATGAGTTTTTAATCTTTAACAAGTCCTTAGTTGCCTCAGGAAGCCAAAATTTGGTCATGAAACCTGGTGCAAGGCGTGTTGTCTGCAGGAAGTGCATTGGCCACCCCCTTGGGCTCCAGGAATGCAATTAAGAAGGAAAAAAGCTGAAGCTGAAAGCCACAAAGAAAGAAGAGGACAATGGAAGACACTTTTCCATTAGATCAGTGGAGGCTTTTAATCAGTTGTGTGGCTTATTTCAATCCAATCTGTGCCAATAGTTGCAACAACCCCTTGTTACATGGAGGTATTTGGTGATCCAAACAACAACAAAAAGATTTTATTTTTTACCCATCAAAAAGGCATACACTAGTTGCAAACTTAATTTCGTGAAGTGTTACAGCCCAGGGACTCCTGAAAAGCAGTTCATTTTTAAAGGTCCCCTCCAACCCAAGACATCATGGCTCTGTGAAGCCCATTTTCCCTCTTTATGAGCTGTGGAGCTGTGAACTGCCTAAGGGCCCCTGTGAGGACCTTGTAGACCTGTACTTTTCACACTTTCCTTTAATTTATGTTTTGCTTTGGCTTTTTTTTTTTTTTTTTTTTTTTTTGGCTCTTTTTACCTGGTGATTTTTGACACGTGCCATCATTCCCACAATTCCCCTAAGAGAGCTTTTTCAGACTTCCAGACACATTAACGCTGCATAAGATCTGCAAGAAGCCTATCCTACTAATAACTGACAAAGCTATTGGTGATGGTTAACCAGGCGCACGCAGCTGGGTTTATCCATTGCGCCCCAGCCGCGCCTCTGACAGCAGGAGTGTGTGTGACTGCGTGGCACACGCAGGTGTCCTCCCCTCCGGTAGGGGGCGCTCGCCTCCCTGCTGGCCCTCTTGCCTCCCGGTTGCTTGGTTACGGAGCGCGTCCTTCCGTACGACGGGAGCGGCGTGGCCCCGTCCGCGGCGCTGGGCGGGGAGAAGCGAGCGGCGGGGTCTTACAGGGTCTCGGGGGCCGTGCTGTGCCTGCTGGATGTGTTTGCTGTGTCGCGGCTGCTGGCGTGTCCTCGTGGGAGGTACTTTTCCTGCTGTGGGGGGGGGGGGGAGGAGGAGGAAGGGGGCTCGCAGGGGTCTGAGGTCACTTGTTTTTGTAAGTGGAAAGCCTTTGTAGTTACTTTAGTAAGTGCAGAGCTTCAGCCTGCCTCATTTCTTCCTCTGCTGGGAGTTTCTGTGCAACTTCTGGTTTATGCTCCCAAAGATAGCAACAGTTCAGTTCTTTCCCCTGGTAGAATGGTACTGTCATTGGTGCTTAGTGATATGCACTATGTGGTGGTCATAATGAAATCCATAGAGACTTCAGCAAAATGCAGTCCTCTTAAAGGGATTGGGTTCTGCATTGGTATATGAAGTATAAAAGCTAATTTCTGTTTGAGTTTACAGGTTGTGTACTGCAGGAGAGAATTGCTGGAAAATGTGAGCGCTTTGAACTGAGTTATCTGGAAGAGCTGGCTGTGGTTACAGGACCAGGCTGTATGTGGGGAATCTCAGTGGGACAGCCTGAAGATCAAATAGCAATAGTTACTGCTTCTAGGAATGTGAGCATGTGCAAGATTTAACACCAGGTCAATTGCACTGTTTAAGAATATTATCCTCTCCAGAGGTCAAAGAGTTCACATAAGCCTGCCATGAATATAAATAAAAATATTCCTTATTAATTGCTCAGAAAGTAAGGAGATCCTCGGAAGAAAAATGAAAAAACAAGCTTCTGATCACAGGGTAATGAACCACAGAAATAGAACTTTGGGAGAAGACAGTGATGACAAAAATCAAAGTTGCTCTGAAAAAGGTCACAGTGAAAATGCCACTTATGGAAGTTGCACTGTAAAACTTCCAGTAATAGCATCATTTGCAGGTACTGCTAAAAAAATTCCACCTCAGAAGCCAAGACATGGCAGATCTAATTTTTGCACCAGTAACTCCCCGGTCTTGTTGGAGAAGACAAAAACTGTTAGTAAAGTAAAGGATAGAGCACGTATGCTACAGGCGAATCTCTACAACTTAAGGAATGATAAAGCTGAAAAAATAGGTACTGTGATTAAAGATAGTGATGAGTTTAGCTCTGCAGACTTAGAGAGAAATGAAAACATTCCCAGGAAGGGAAAATTAACCAGGGAAAGCTGTAAGAAGAGAAGCAAAGAGATTTCAAAACTAAAGCAGCAAGATTTATGTGTTGAATTGGGACAAGTGCTGAGAAAAGGAAGCAAGCAGCCAAGTGTGAGGTCTGCTCAGGAACAGTTGGAAGAGGTAAGAGATGTGACTAGACTAGACACTTCAAAAATATATGAGAACTTCCAGCAGAGCAAACCTGAAGAACCTACTTCCACAGCAGCATTGCCTGTGAAAGTGGTTGCAAGGATTGTTGATGAAATAATCGCTTCCCCGCAGTCTACTTCTCCATCTTCCTCAGAACAGATGATCAAAGAACTCCTGGAGAGTGTTCTTGGCCAGAAATGCAACATAAAAATGGAAGTAGGTGAACCAGAACAAGAGCAATATTTTTGTCTTAGGTAAATATTACTTTTATAGGAGTTGTATATTTTTTTCCAGCTCCTACAACACAAAAGCCAGACAAAACAAACAGACGCAAACACTAATGTACCATAGAATATTCTTCACTGTTTCTTCTGCCAGATCTTTAATTCCCTTAACATATGAAAATGAGTCAATATCAAAATCTATTAAAACATAAATCCTCTGGGATGGGAATTGTTAGTCTATTTATAGATTAGTACAGCTTTTTCTTTTTTCTCTTTCCCCCTTTTTAAGATGGCAATTCCAGTCTAAGAGATGATGAAGTGCACTAAGTATACCTGAAGCATTGTTCCTTTCAGTTTGGCATACGAAGTCTCAAGAAAACAATTTCATTATTGTAGTTAAGTAGATTGTATCAGCTGTTGTAAGAGTCCCTTCACTTACAGTAAGAGGCACCAGTAACATCAATATCATAGAGGACTTTCCTGGATTCTCACCAGAGGGTAGCCTCTTTTGTTGCTGCCAGTTTATTTGTTAACTAGTAACTTAGATTTACTAGTAAATTACTCTCAGTACTTTGTCTTCTCTGAGCAAGAGTAATGGTTTTGTTAGAATGAACCATTTCACAAGGGCTGAAACTCGTGTTATGAAAATAGCTATCATACTTTGTATGCATACTAGCTTTTGTTGTGAGGGGTGGAGTACACCCATATAGGATGCAATACTTACAAGAAGGAACTGCCATTGCAAGGAGTCGTATGGAAGACTGATGTGTTTGTGTTGTAGGAAATCATGATGGAAATTGTTTCCTACAGCTATTAAAATGCTACCTTTTATGATTACGGAGTATCTTGCACAGAATGTAAGTGCAGTACCTTAATATTTCTTTAATGTGAGATTGATTGTCATTGGTTAGATTGAAAAAAAAAAAAATTAAGACAAGAAAGAATACAGAACTGATTTAATTATGTCTGAGTAGCAATAGTCTGAAACTCTATTTCTAATAGATTTACATCCTATGATTTACTTTTGTTCTCAGAGCTGTTTGTGTGGCTCAGGTACTCAGAATGCCTTTTACTCTGTATATTTTCTGGTGTATACTTGGGTTGAAATGAGAGAAGCCTTTCCTCAGTGTGGCAGCATTGTATAATCCCTCTTCATTGCTTTACTCTGATTTTAGCAATGTAATAATTTGAGTCTCTTTTCTTGTTAAGTGTGGTTGAAGTTTGCCGAAAGGCATCAGAGGAGATTGGGAAATGAAGAAGACTAAAGAAAATCCCAGACATGGAAAACCATTTCTTGTTCAACTTACAAAAAAAAAAAAAAAAAAAAAAAAGTCATTAGTGTTGTGGTAATTATGTTACATTGCTTGCCCTGTCTTACTCATTTACAATTGCATTTTATGTTTTATAGGTAAGATTTTCAAAATCTGGCCTCTATCAGGTCCTGGTGTTCTTGATTTGAAGTGAACTGAGTTTTCCGTTGTTTGTATTGGGAGTTACTGCACTCTGAGCTTTGAAAGTGATCTCTGGAGTACTGTGATAACTAAACATATCAATCAAATTTAAAGTAAAACAAAAGTTGAGACTTGGTGATCAGACTTTCTGGTCCAGTTGTTAGTTGTTTAGTGGTTTGTTTTTTTGTTTTTTTTTTTTTTTTTTTTTTTAGATATGGATTTATGGAAAATGCATATGAATGACACTTACTGATTGCACTTTTTAAATTAAAGGCATTTACAGCTGGCATCTTATGAACTGAAGTGACCTTACAAATAGGATGAGGACTCTAGCAATTCTTTATTATTATTATTATTATTATTATTATTATTATTATTATTGTGTGTGACTTGTTTGCTTTAGACTGAGCTTCAAGACTTGTCTTCTCTGATGAAATAAGGAGTATATTATTTTAAATGAAATAGAACAGAACTACTAAAATGAAAACAAGCTTTCAGAATTAAATGTGATTTTTATTCCCTAAAAAAAGAAAGAAGTATTTTATTCTCTTTATCTTATTTTTTATTTTGAATTAATGACTGAGTTTGTACTGCTGCTGTGGAGTCTGAGCATTTTTTTTTTTTTTTTTTTTTCCCCCACAGTGTTACAAAGAACATTACATGGGAAATGGGATGCCAGCTCTGTGGGACATTAGTACTTAGCCCTGTTTCCTTGGAGGAAATCTGTTATAAATAATTATTCCTATCACGTTTTCTGTTAAAAAGTGAAATGCTTATTATAATCAGAATATTATTTCCAATGCCTGGAGTCACTTTGTTGCCTTGGGGCATGTTGCACCCCTGAAGTATCTTGTTATCAAGTTGTATGTTGGATTTAGTATCCATAGGAGGGTGTTTATATTCATTCCAGAAATACATTTTCTTGGTGTTCATCTTCCTTAGTGATGAGTTTGCAACTCATCTTTTTTTAGTTGGCTTATTGTTTTCAGCAGATCAATTGTTTGGTATCTCAGATGAGCATGAGAAGGTGGTAACTAAAAGAAAATACTTTTTTGTTTTGTTTTTCTCTCTGGAAAAATAGAATCAGATTTGAATGTTTCTATTAAAGGATGATGGTACAGTGCACCATGCCATCAAAGAACAAACAAAATATTCTTCTGCTTTGGTACACATCTCTAACTCTTCAACTACTCAACAGAAAGTGAGGCCTTGAGGAGCCTTTCTCAGTAGAATATTAGTACTCTCTCAGAAGTACAGTTTTGTTTGCTTTAGCTACAAGCAAATATAAACAAGTATTTGCTCATCACTTTATAGCATCTTAAGTATTTAGTGTATAGCTTCTTTATATTTCAACTGACGTGAAAATTATACATCAGATCATGTATTGATTTATTTTCTTTTGACTAAAATGGTAGGAGGCTCACTGAAAATATATTTCTGAAGTGCTGTAAGGTGTATTCTTTTCTTGGAAATGAATGAGATTTCTATTTATTTGGATGTGTAAAAAGTTCATGAGTGACAATAATGAAGCCTTATATTATGATTTTTCTAGTGTATTCTTAATTCTGTAACTGCGTATTATTGATTATACTCAATAAGGTTAATCGTAGCATAGCAAAGGCAATGTTATTGCCTACCTTTGCATTACCAATCCTGGATATACGTTTGATTTTTTTTTTTTTTTTTTTTTTTTTTTTACCCCTGTGGAACAGTTGACCTGTACTACTTCAAATATATATTTTTTTAAGATATACAGTTTTAATGATGTTACAAGAAGCTGCCTAATTAGAAATGCTTATTATATGATATACATGTGGGAACATCTGGAATCTAAACTGTTTATCTCTTCAGAGTTACTAACACAGGTAACTAACTAAAGATAATCCAGCTGAGCAGTTTGTGAGATTTGTATCAACAATCACTTTCCAGTATCCTGGTTCTTTATGCTTATTAGCATAATTACCACATGATCACCTCTTGTTGCAAGAAATACTGCAGGCTTCATGGACTGTCTTTTTACCCTGAAGTCTAACGAAAGGGGAGAATACTCCTGATTAGTCTGGTGGGATGCTGTTATGAGAACAAACTGATTTTAATCTGATAAACTGTAATTTCATACGATTTCAAGATTTGTCAAAGGGATACAGGATGATTACCAATGCCTGTATAAATAATCTGTACAAGTTCACCAAGATAAAAGAGTGTTTTAGGGTATTTGCATGATCACACATCAAGACTACATTTATTCTGCCATTTATCAGAGTCTTTTCTACATTGGTGATGGCTTTCTATCATCAAAAGAGAGAAATCGTTTGCAGTGAATGAAGAACAAGGCTATGAAGATGATGAGGGTGTTGGAGCACCTCTTCTGTGAAGACCAGCTGAGGGAGCTGGGAGATTAAATATATGGAAGTTATTAACAATGGTGCTGAGACACTGGCATAGGCTGCCTGGAAAAGCTGTGGATGTCCTGTTCCTAGAGGAGTTTGAGGCCAAATTAGATGTAGCTTTGAGCAACCTGTTGTAGTGAAAGGTGCCCCTACCCACGGCAGGGGGATTGGAACTAGATGGTCTTCAAGGTCCTTTCTAACCAAAACCATTCTAGTATTCTTTTGAAATAAATTATTTTCATAGCATTTAACTATTAAAGGAGAAGTTGAAAATTTTTGGTAAGATGAATTTAGAGGTAATTATTAAAAACACTAAAAAGTCTTGATTTTTCTATATGTCAAGAGTCTCAAAGTTTCTTTTCAGCACCCAAGGATACCAAAGACGTATCAAAATCACTGGAAACTGTTCCAACATTTTTAGTTAGTTATGAAGGTACTTAAATCCATAAATTGATAAATTGTTTTTTACAATGAGGCGGAAGGCTATGACTACTCAAATGGCATTTTTTTTTTTTTTTTTAAAGGCACAATAAAATTTTCTGTCACAAAATATCAGTGCGGGAAGAATCAGCAGAATGCTTGAGAATGGACCCACAGGGAATAAGAGTTGCCGTGGTCTCAACACTTTTATTTCTAAATAAAATTGACTTAGTTTTTGTTAATACAAACACACAACCCATAGTACATATATACATGGTACACATTATGTTAAAATACCAGAACAGCATTGTGCCTGCAATTCTCCCATGGGGAGTGAACAAAAGAAGAAATACCGCACCCAGCAAAGAAAAGCAGTTGCATAACATGTACAGGTGTCTAAAATAGCATGAAAATACTGTTTGTTCATATAATTTTGATTAGGAAATTAGTATAGAAAACTAATCTACCTACTCTGTCGGTTTTGATCCAGCCTGTTTGAATGAAAGGATATGTGAAAAATTCTCTTTGAATTCATGCATTAGATAATAAATTGTGTGGGGGAAAGAATTCCACTTAGGTAAGATGGAGTCTAATTAATAGTCCATTGTAGTCACTGTGTCTGGAAATGTGCATGTATTGCAAAGAAAAGGAGGATTATTTGGCGTAGTTTGGGAAGGTATTGCTGAATCTGTATTTTAATCCAGGAGGTTTCATTCCTTTGTTTTTCCATAGTTATGAAAGTTTTATATGGAATAAGGTGTTTTTTTTTTTTTTTTTTTTTTTTTTTTTTTTTTTTTTTTAAATTAAGCTCTGCCTTTTCTGTCAAAAGTAACTATTTACTAGAGCTTTGTCTAAAAATAAAATCACCAGTGCATGCAATATTTTGCAAGTAAAGTTTTTTTTTTCCTTTTTACTATTTACTTTTTTTTTTTTTTTTGCTTGAAAACTCCTTTTGTATCATCTTCATTTTCTAATACGCAAGCAGAACAATGTTGCAACTCAGAATAACTTTTTACATGTTTTGTTAGAATGGAATTGAGTATGGCATGCAAAAAAATCCTAGGCATTAAAAATACGCTTTTAGATTACTGGTTGGACAATGCACAAAATAAGGAGTGAAATGTGTAGAAATCTTTTCAAAAGATCACCCTAAGTTTGTTTCTGCATGTGCATGTTGATTTCAAGTATATTTCAAATATATGTAATAAAGACCCAGCCTTTAATTTGTGCATGAATATTGATTTGATGTTTTGTTCTATTAGGTAGTGAAAATTGCACTATATATGTATATATATAGTGCACTCTATAGTATAGTGTGTGTGTGTGTGTTTGTGTGTGTATATATATATATATATATATATATGTATATACATATACATATAGCTTGAGAATCAGTTTTTATTTCCTTGCATTCAACTGGGGCCTGCTGCACAAACCAGAGGGAAAGATGTGTGTGTATGTATATATATATATACATACATCTATATATGTATATATACATATATATATGTATATGTATATATATATATACACATACGTCTATATATGTATATATACATATATATGTATATGTATATATGTATATGTATATATATACACATACATCTATATATGTATATATACATATATAGATGTATGTGTATATATATGTATATATACATATATATACATACATCTTTCCCTCTGGTTTGTGCAGCAGGCCCCAGTTGAATGTAAGGAAATAAAAACTGATTCTCAAGCTAGCAAGGAAATCCTGCCAAGTTTTCACCAAGCAAGCCTGGTAACATTCTACATTATCTAGGAATGTTGAAATATAATAAGTTAATTGTACTTCTATTTGCTTGTAGAGTTGTTAAGATAGGTAGATCATATTTTAAACTGATAAAACAGGGAAGGAAAGGAAATAGTGCTTGAAAACATTTTGGTACTTCATAAATTATAAATATACTTTTATTTTTATTTCTATCCCTTTTGTATCTCTTATTCCTTTCTTTTCTTTGGGGGCTTGATTCTTTAGTTACTGGATATGCAGAATTTCCCTCTTATTAAGTAGTATGAGGATTAGGGCAATGAACTTGCAAAGCATTCACTGATATTCATGTATATTAATGCTCATCACTTTGTCTTGCATTCAAATTGTTTTTAAAATTTAAATTTGTAAGCTTAGATGTGTTTGGAGATGTTGCTTAATGTTTAGAGTTGTTGATTTATTTGTTTTAAAGGATCCATATATATTGATACACATTTCTGATGTATGTTAATTTGTACATTTTTGAAGTATAATTTGTAGAATAAGCTTTTCAGAAGAAATCTCTCTATATATTATTATTTAGTGTTGATCATTGTAAACCCTTTGCCTGTTAGTGTACTGATTTTGTAAATCCAGTTCTCGATCGAAGAAATATTTGGCTTAAGACAAAATAGATACAGTGATCCATGTGCTTCATAAAATGCATGTACAATGAAAGAGTATTGAAAATAATAAATACTGTAGTGAATTATTTGTCAGGGAGTGTAAAAATGTGTTTTTAAGAAAATGCTATATGTTCTTCTCCTAAATGGGTTTTCCCTTTCTCATGAAAGATGCCAGTTGTTCAAAAAGAATCTCGAGTAGCAGAAAATGAATCTCAGCCTTCAGATGAGCTGTTAACATATAATAAGCAGATGAAACAGGTAAGCAGGCTTTGTACTATTGTGAGATAGTATTAGTTTTCCCATGCTTGAGGTTTTGATGTTTTAGAGCATATGGGGATTTGTAAGCTTTTTTCTTTTTCTTTTTTTTTTTTTTACCACCTGCCATTTAAAAGACTCTTGTATAATACAGGTCTCCATACTGGTCTTGCAGCTTAATGTTAGAGGAAAAAATAAATTAAGGTTCATTCGGTCATATGTTGGGTAAGGCTTTTCATTATGAGATTGAGAAGATTAGGAATGAAACAATGTATAAATAGAATCCTCATTTACATTTAACAACTGTGTGCCTTCCTGGAAAATGGCATAATGATCAACATCCTCTTGGTTATGTGATGTTTCACACATGACAAGAGCTTTCATTTGATATCAACCCCTTAAAGCTTTTCTAGTAAAGAACATATACCAAGATTACAGAGGCAGGACAAACTTGTTACAAAGACCAAAAAATGTCTTTGGCCACATATTGCTGGTTTTAATCATTCTGGTGTTTTGAGGATACCACCTTAACGTACTTCCTTCTGCTGCTTCTATATGAATGATTACTTTACCTTACAGTTACCACATTTGCTGAATGTATTATGTGAAGAACAACCAAGATTGGGGGTGTTTCCACTAGATAGTTATGTACCAAAAATATTCAGTAGCCTTGGCCGAAACTTAAATAGAGGTGAACACAAGGTTTGATATGGTACATGAAGACAGATGCAGGTATTGAAATGGAGGAGGTAAAAGGGAACAAAATGAAAAGGGGACGAGAGAGAGAGAGAGAGAGAGAGAGAGAGAGAGATTCCTATCAACAAGAAATCCATATTATTGGAGAGCAGATTGTTTCTAGGTCTAGTCATAAGACAGATCTAATCAAAATGAGAAACTTGTTGCATGCCTCGGCTGCTTCTTCAGTTTTTCACATTGACTGTAGTTTGGCTTTGGTTGTGTCTTGTCAAAAGGCACAGAGAAAGGCAAAGAGAGTGGTAGTCATACCCTTAGGAACCCAGAATAGTAGGGTTTCCTCATCAGTATTAGGGTAGCTAAGAACCTGTTCTGAAGAGCTCAAGGATGTGGGCTACTCTGAGAGTAAGTTACAGGGAGATAACAAACTCCCCATCATTCCTGGTGCTGCATTTTGTGTTGGAGCTATAGTGAATGTGAAGCAAAACCCTAAGTGGTCTGAGTAGTTCCAGTTGACTGGCATTTTTCTACAATCAAGTATTTGGTTGTATCTGTTCTTGGGGAAGCATAATAATTTCTGTTAGACAGATTAGATTGCTACTGCTGAAGAGCATGAATGATAACAGTAATTTGAAAAATTTCTTCTAAATTAGAAATAATATTCTTTTGACATTGTCCTTACAATATTTAGAAATTACAATTTGAAATTTTTCTAATCATTTGTACTGTCTGTTCTTGACTTTAGATAATTAACAATGATGCTTGCCATAGGTAGTTGTAAGAAATTGTTCTACAATCACACCTATGTATATATATAATATATATTGATCTGTTGGTTACAGAAGTAGGTACTAAATGATGTGTAAACAATATACAATACAATGTCAAATAATTTTTATAATATCTAAGACTATATTAAAACTACATATTCTAAATTATATACTGTTGTCTAACAGTATTTTCACAGTTAGTTAAACAGTACTTGGGTACTGTGATGGTTTTTAGACAGTATTATTTTGGGCAACATGCTACTTCTGTAATGCTCTAGCAGTGTTGTTGTAACAACACCCATCAAACATATGTTTAGTGAGGTTACAACAAAAAGCAGTTTCCAAGACAGGCACTTGGAAAGATAAAATACATTTGGTTCTACTTGATGTAAGTACTGCAGAATTTAAATGGTTTTTTTTTTTTTTTTTTTTTTTTTTTTTTTTTTTTTTTTTTTTCCCCAATTGGTTTTCCACAGTATTCTGTTTCTATCTTTCATGTAGCTTTTGTTATAGCTTTTAATTTTCTTGAACCTGCTTTGCTGTATTACGTATGGTAAATTTTCGGGGGAGCTCAGATGAATCCTTTTTATTGGTTGCAGTTAGTCTGTTTTGTGAAGATGTTTAGCATCTTGCAGGAAATAGAGTTGTCAAATGCTTAAAGTTGGAAGGGGCTTCTGTTTCTTCTAGACTATGATGGCCTCCAGCATATTCTGTAGATTTTGTTTAAGTTTATGAAACAAATGTAGATGCCTTGGGAACAGTAATATCTTTAAGAGGTTCCTTCCCCTTGCTGTTTGGTCTTGCTCCTGGACTTCAGTGAGCTGCTCCATGACAAAATTTTTTGGTGGAACAGGGATCAAAGATCAGGGTTAATTTCTGCCTTCTCCTTGCGTGCTTTTTACAGTGTTTTTCAACAGTTATCTGGTCTGTTTTAACTGTGTTGGGAAAAAAAAAAAAAAAACAAACCAAAAACAATTATTGGCATTAATAAATTGGAATGATCAGCTGTGGGTGGAAACTATAGCAATTCCTTTTGTATTGCTGTACTGAATAAACATAACCTTGAATAAACTTTTCTAAAAGTTTATCCTTTAAACCACATTTGTCTATCTTAATTTGCATAAAAATACAAATTGTAGATACTACTCAAATTTTAGGTAGTACTCATGTACTTCTAAGAGTAGGAGTTCTGAATTGTGATAATTTTGATGCTCTTTTGATTATTCTATTGATTATCATAGGGTACACTGGACACTTTGTTTTGCCACACTTTTCTGCGTATCCTGTGCCCTGAATAGCTGTGGGTGTTACTGTTACTGGGTGTAACTACTGCTCAAAGACAGTAGTTACATGCTACTCTTGTTTAACTGAATTTTGTTTTCTGTTAATCAGGGTTTCTTGTGTACCGTTGCTTTTTGTTCTTCTGTGGAGTGGGTATGAAAATATCTGTATAGCTTGCCATCTATAACACTGTGCTTATCTTTTGCTTGTGAACATCTTAGGCTTCATCCACAGATGTGCTATGGGTGGAAGGAAAAGCGATATCAAAAATTAAACCAAATGAGTTTCAGAAAGATCTACAAGAGGAACACAACTTGCAACAGTGTTTGTCTTTCCTGCCCACTCGTGCTTCAAATGTCAAGTAATACTTTAATCTTACTTCATTATAATGAAATTAATATTGAAAATGTGTTAAGTTACAAAAACGTATGATGGCAGATAAGTACGGAGAAGAAATATTGCTATCTCCCAAAATATGGATCTGAAACATAAAGTTCTAAGCAATTTCTGATCTATCAAGTTTAGCTTGGTGGTTTGTTTGCTACTTACCTCCTTGAAATGGATTTGATTTACAGTTTTTAAAATCTAGAGGGCCTGCTCATTCCTGCTGTATGCAGATGAAACTTTTTTTTGACCGCAGCAGAGACTGAAGTTGCTTATGCAGAGGTTGAATTTGTCCATACAATTCCAAGCGTAATCTAATCAAAATAATTAAAAACAAACAATGGAACATACCACAAATTTAATATAAGCAATGCCAGCTGTAAGTCATCATCTTTAAATAGAGAAGATATATTAAAAATTCATTAACTTGAATTTGTATTACAGTCAGTGCTTGTCTGAAATTCAGGAGATTTTACATAGAGCAGTAATTTAAGGACAACTGCTTATTACACTGCTGTTGTCATAGGTGGCATCTGTCATTCTCTAGTAGGAGTGCAGATTACAAAAGTAGTACAGCTTGTGTCCTGATTTAACTAATCTTGTCTTGTCTCATGTCGAGTGAGACTCCTCGATTTTATGGTGTTCACTACTAAGATCTTTATGGCTATCTTTGCTTAGGTATACCATAAGTTGCTTCTTCACTTCTTTCGAGTTTTTTTAAAGAGTGAGAGAAGCGGCTTTAATTATTAGCTTTTGTTGTTCTTAGGGTCTTGAATGGTCTGTTGGATACAGAAGAGAGCCTTTTTATGGGAGGTCTGAAGTTTGTAAATGGATAATACTTTCAATTAAGTAGCTGAGAATAGTCATGGGAAAAGAATGCTTAAGTTTATGAAACAGTCAAATTGGCATTTAAGTGACCCTTTGCATGCCATTGCTTATCTGCATTGCTTAAAGATCATTTGGTTAGCAAGATTATATATTAAAACAAATAGTGACAACAGACAATGAGTGTTTTACCTTCAATAAATACTTACTGTCAGATTATCAATGGTGCAGAAACTGCATGATTTTCTAAAAAACCTGTATTTAGTGCATTAAATGAGGGTAATGTAGGCCACACACAGAGTATTGTTTCTTCATGTCCACTTTTTCAAAGAATGATAAATAGTCTGTTTTAAGAGCGTGTGTTGTAAAAACATTCACCTTTACCTGAGGCATGCCCTGAATATTTTAGTTTACATTCATAAAGCATTCAGTTAGTTAATTCAATGAAATGATAAACTTCTATAAAATAAAAGTCATTATACTACAATTAAGATATCATTCAAGCTTTTTTAATTGATTTTAAATAATTTACAAAATCTATGTGAAAAAAGTTCCCAGATGATTTTAAAATAATTTTGCTTAGTTTTGTTTACATATTTTACTCCAACTGTTTGAAGTTCAAAGTTGAATTGTTTGCCTATTTTTATTTTTAAATGCGTATGTATTGATTTGCAGAGTAAGTGTACTGTTAGAGAATCCTGAAATAAAATATTTCATATTAGGTGTTCTTTTTTCAGTTAAAGTATCATGGAATATTTCTTTTTATTTTAAATTAGCATGATCTTAAAGCATGGATCTCTGGTTTCACACACTGGAACAATTGCTTATTTTCATTTGTGCTGTGAAATGTATGAATTTAGTTTCAAAAAACCCCAAGCCTATCAATTTCATTATATGGAACTGCTGTAAGCCTTACATTCTAATCAGTATTATGTATTCTATGTTGCTTTTCCAACTGGATATTTCATTTTAAATGTTTAGCTTCCAAACTTTATTTAATTCCTGTTTTCTTTTAGGAAAAAAAAAATCACAAATTTGAGTAGAGACTTTGGATTGCAGTTTATGGTAAAAATGTCTTGTTGAAGCGTGAAGTGGCTAGGCTTTCTTCTTTATCTTATTTCTATATATTACATATATTGCATAAAACATATTATGGCTTGACAGAAATTATTTTAATTAAAATGTTATTTTGTTGCCACTCATTTATATTCTGTTGTCATGTGCCTGTAAACATCAGGACTCAGTTGAGAATAATATAACTGATGTGATAAGCTCTTAATTGTGAGTCAAACTGATGTTATATTGCACTATTTTTTTTGTCTATTTTCTTTACATGTGTGGTTTCTTTAAACTTCTTTTGCTGTCATTGCTTTTCAGGAATGGTAAGTACATTAAAAATATTTTACATTAACTGGAATATGTATTGCATGATTAGACTGATCTTGTATTTTTTTCCCTGTTTTGTAGTTTTTACTAATTTCCCTTTTATAATCTCTTTATTAAAAAAGAAAAAGCCATAGTTATCAGGAAAATAGACAACTTGCTGAAGGACTGAAAACAAAAAGTTATACCTGAAAGCTAATCAGCATAGTTTCAAAGTGGAGTTTTAACCATTTTCATTTGAGAATTTATTTTCAATACGATGATATTTGTGAACTTTAATTAAAAGTAGCATGCATTTGGGGAGCCATTTTGGGGCTCGGATATTTTCTCTATACTGTTTTTCACATTGTAGCTGTCTGCACTTTTAGATACTTATTAACTTTGTAGAGTTCATACAGTAGCTGCAGACTGTTTTTAGAGCTTGATCCATGGCCTGTAGAAGTCAATAGACTTTCATCACTTTTAGCACAACTTAGATTGGAGGCTTAAATGGTAGATTTTTTTTTTTTTTTTTAGTTATTAACTTTTTAAAGATAGTCAAAGGTACTGTGTTTTACTGTGTTTCCTCCAAAATCAACAGCTGAATTGAAATGTTAGGAAAAATGTTCAAATGATAGCATAAAAAAAAACTAATTCCAAAATTTAAGAGTATTTACCTGGTATTCTGTCAAGAGAGAGAATGCACAGATGAATGTACACATAACGTTTTAACATAACATTTATTCAAATACCCAATTTAAGCTGTAAATATACGGTGCTTAGATACTTTAAGCTTTCAGGGCAGACGGTGTGAAAGCTCCGCTGTGGGAAAGTAAAAATGTGACTACTGCAGTTATTCTTTAATTTTAAGATTATTGCCAACATTTTTGCTTTTACCTGTGGGTCCCTTCGCCTTCACCAATACTCCAAGTGATATTAACTCTGCTGTCAGTAGAAGTCATCTGGATTACCAGGCAACTTTTGCCAAGTATTTATGTTAGCAATTTACATTGTGACGTTACAGACCATTGGATATAATGTTTCGATAAGTTGCATACTTTTACAATTCAGAGAATGGTTAAGGCTTCTTTTTCCCTTTCTAGACAGCAAAATTATTCAAGCATTCATCATCTATGTACTGCTTTTCCCGGATTTATGTTGCCTCCGTATCTACAAATGGCTTCAAGAATTTATCATACTTCAAATAGAAGAGGTCACAATATCTTGTTTACGGCAGAGGATATAGACAATAGGCAGAAAGAATCCATATATTCTGAGTATATTTACTTGAAAGAACAAGCTGAAAAGAAAAGGTATGAACTTATTATTGATGTTACTATGATTTAATTAATTTTGTAAATTAAGGGATTATATTTTGAGAAATAATGGTGTTTCAATATTTAGTAGTTTCACAGAAGTGGCAAATAAAAAGGCTTGATTTTTTTACCGTGTTTGTAAGGTATGCTTTAAATTATATAGCCCAAAGGTCTTATCTTGCTTAGAATGCAAATGGTGATGTTAATTTTTAAGAGTGAAATTCACTTTATGTTATGAATGAGTTTTTGTATTTAGCTCTACTAATGATGAGTCTCATTGTAATAACAAGCAATGTTGAACACTTAGACTAAGCTTCCTATGAATGTAAAATTCTGCAAGAGTAGGTGTATAAAGTGTACAGTCACTAACCCTTTATCAAATGGACAATCTTATGATCCTGATTGTTCAAGCACTTAGCATCAAGCGTAACTTCAAGTAATGTAATGAAGTTCTGTTGAGTTCAACACATACAAAATTAATATAAAACCTTGGATAGATCTGTAGTCAACAATACTAATTGTATATGTAAGAGGTACTCATGATAACAGCATTATAATTTTTTGATTGAATTCCTAAATCCTTACTTGTTGTTTTCTTAATGTATTTTACACTAAAATAATGCGAAATAAAGCTAAACAACATGAAGAATGTTCATTTTTCACTCCATATTATTTCAGTTACTTTTTTTCCTTTTTCTGTGTCTTTCTGGATGAACATCTTGGAACTAGAACCTTTACACTCAAGTTTTTTCCTTAAGATTTTTCAGACTGACAATTTGCAACTGAGTTTCTGTATTGCACCAGTTCCAGAAATATAAAATTATTGCTCGTAAATTTTGTAGTGATCTAAAGAATGATAGAGAGGTAAATAAGGATAAGGACGGGTCAGTTTTACAGGGCAATTTGTGTAGCTTGTTAACTTGGGCTCCCTTGAAAAACGTGCATTTTAGTGCAGCCAAATGCAAGGTCATAAGGCTAGGAATAGGGAATAGAAGTCATTGTTTGTAGGAGGGCAGATTGTATCCTGAAAAGCTGTAATTCTGAGCAGAGTTTTACGCTCTTGAAAGATAAGTAACTGAAGATGGCTATGTAATAGACTCAAACCTTCAAGCATGTATGTTAAAATGGAGATGAGACGCTTTGAATAATATAGAGAAAGTAATAGTTTTGGGGTTAGAAATCTTGTACAGAGCTGTTTTGCTTTGTTTTGTTCCAGGTAAGTGCTCTTACAACTGAGGCAATCATGCCACCACTTGTTTTTTCTCCTGGCTACGTGATTTTTGTATTCTTTTCTGCTCAGCAGCACAACTTCCTGCACCCAGAACAGTCAAATCATGTAGTGGTGATTGAGGTTTGAATCCTCAGATAAGCAATGAATTCTCATATCCTGGCTCTGTGCTTCAATAGCAAATTGCCATGAAGAAAGAAATAGTCCGTTGTTGCATTTTTTCCCATTGCTGTCTTACAAAACAAAAAAACCACAACCACCATACCCCTTCCCCCTCCCCCCCCCTCTTCATGGGGGGGGGAAGTGTACCCTGAGAAAAGGGCCTCATGTTCTGGATTTGAAATGGAGGAAAAATTCTGCCTGCAGTCTCTGAGAAATCTAAGTTTAAGAAAGGGGCAATAGACTTCCTACAGGTGTCTGCCATTCTTCCACATGCAGATTTGTGGGAAGGCTGTGCACTTAGCAGTGAGTTCCAAATATTGTTCTTGGGGAGCTAACAGAAATCTGGATTCCTGTATGTGATCTCTCTCTTACTTGAATGCTTGTTCTATGTGAAGACACTTAAAAAGATCATTATGTTGGTCTTTGTGTAAGAAATAAGAGATACTTTTAATCTGTTACCTAAGTGGCGTAGTTTCTGTTGCAAGAGAACTTGCGTAAATGAAAACTTAACAGACTCAGTAGCTGACATTTCAGTCTAGACAAATTTGAGAGTAGCTGTAAGACCTCATTGCATAGCAATGAGAGTACCTTATGAAACTACTCACTGATTGCAGTCTTTAAATCAAGACTTAATTTCTTTGAGTTGTATCCTGAGTTTCACCGAGGGAACTATGAGCTTAATGCAGGAATATTGATGAAGTTGCATAATTTGTGTTGTTTGGAAGATCAGTACGGGTTTGTCATAATATTTCTTTTTCCATAAAATCTGAATCCATAAAATTGTTGTATGAAAGCTTCTAGATCTTGAATTCTTTTGATGCAGTCAAGTTTCTCCCAACCATCAAGTATGGCGTTATTTAAGATTAGGCCCTCATCTTTCTGATAGGTTTGTGTCAGCTTCTGCTGGAGTGGCCAGAAGCCTGGCTGTTCATTGTTTTGCAGGTCATGAGGAAAGATCATTAAGGAAATTCTGAGAAAATAAGCTAATAGCTATGATTCTTTTCTCAAGCGTGGGAGGCAATTTAAGTGTGGGCAAAAAAGTGTTCATAAAGGGGGAAAATAAAACCCTTAGGAAGTCAGTGATGAAGTCAGAAGTTGAGTTGAAATAGCAGTTGGCACAGCTTTACTAATCTAGAGATAACAGAAAAAGGAAGGTCTTTGAGTGCTTTGAAAGCAGAGGACCATCTCATATTTGCATTAGCACTCTCTTTTGTTATCTCAAAGAATAGCATAACATTCAAAGCAAGGAGTTATGATCTTTGCAGTAGCACTTCAAATGAACAAGAACAGAACAACAAAATGAGTGAATAGAAGAAGGTGGTGCTTATCTGGGTTAAAGAAACAGATGCTGCAGCAACTGAGGTGATATTAAATACCAGACAAATAGCTTATTAGGGAGATTGAAAGAAAGCTTTAATTTTAGTATGTTGTGAATGTTACCTGTTGAATGATGGAGGTGCTCACCATAGTGATGAAAGCAAGTAGTGGGGAAACTGTGAATACTGCAAAGTCTTGTAAGATCCTTGAACTTCAGACTTGCTGAGCTAGCACTGGCATCTCTAGGAGGTGGGTAGTTTGATATTTCTGTTGGTGCAGAATAGTTATGAATCATACTGATTCATTATTTTGGAGAGGCGACTTGTACAAGGTGTTTATTTGTACATTTTACTAGTAATAGAGGAAATGAGGAGGATTTGACAGGATGCTGTAATGTAAAGAGATGCTAGTGAAACTAAGAACTGTGGAAGCTATGTGAAGATGGGGCTTGAAGGTGAAAATGGTTTTGTTTTCAAGGGTCGCTGATGAGCAAAGGATGAGCCTGAGCTTTATGTGTCAGAAAGGTTTCAATGCAGATCTAAATTCCCACAGATGAGAAGTTTTAAGATGCCTGTTTTCTTTAAAAAGAAAACAAAAACAAAAATATCCTTGCTCAAATTTGTTTAATCTGGAAAAACTAGAAAACGTAACTCTTTGGAGCACTGCCATCTAGTGGCGTAACCTGATACAGCCTGTTACTATTAAGAACTGGTTCACTTACAGGAGCATAAGATATCATTTATATGGTACTAATTTAAGTTTATTTACACTACTCACATCTATTGCTGAAAAATTCCTGGCACTTGTCTAATTTCACAAATACAAATAACGTAACTGAGAATAAGCATGATTTCTATGTAGTTCATAGTAAAATTTAAATGACTTTGTTGAGCAAGTTACAATTGTGATTTTTTTTTTTAATAGTGGATCAGATTAATAAAGCAATAATTATTTTGCTTTCAACATTTTTGTTTTTTAAACCTCCAGACATTTTTCACAACAACCTTTTCATTCACATCTGTGAAAAACATATAGCAGAGCAGAGTGTTACTTATCAATATACATACATCTCCAGGTCAGCCATAACCAGGAAACCAGGACTGACTGCACTGTGTTTATTTCGTGTATGACAAAGGCCCCTTGCTTTCTATGTCCTGCTTAATCTTGACATGCTCTGCAAGTATCAGTTGTTTGAGAGTTAAAAATGCTACTTTCTAGCCATAAAGACTTAAGAGTTAATCAGAATGTATGTTTATGAACATCATATGTGGATGGTCTAATCCATTCCTGGTAGAAATCTTGCAAATATTTTAACATGGTTTTTAGCTTCATCTTATCTTTGCTAAAATTCCTTCAAGCAGGAATGCTTTAATCTCCTGGAAACATTCTGATTGAATTTGTATTTATTAACCAGCAGGTGGAATAAGAACATTATTAGAATTTATTATTATTGCATTGAGCTGCTTTTCTTCATTTGTTTCTGTCTTCCAGAAATGAGAAGCCTGAGTGTTGTTTCACATTAACTCACATTTTATTAGTTGGTATAAACTCACTGAATTGATAACTATTTATGACAAAAGTGCCCTAAAAGAGTAACAACTCTTATGTTGTTCACTTAAGATGGTCAAATGCTAAAGAATCTTTTGGTTGTTTTATACCATTCTCTATCTTGTTATAACTTCTTGACATACTTTTATGCAGACTCTCACCTTGAAGACTCAAAACCACTGACCACTTAAATGGAAACAAAAACTAGGAAGGCCATACATTTGCCAAAAATTAGGCTTTCAGTTCATTTTACAAGAAACAGGTCTTTTTTCAAAGCTTCCACTTCAAGAAAGGAGCATTCCAGAAAGAGTTCAAGAAGTACTCTCAGGTCTACAATCTTTCTTTGCACTAGTGCTGCATTTTAAAGATTCCTTCTCAACTTGGGGTTGTACTTCAGAGGCATTTTGTTTGCTAAATCAAATGGCTGGTTCTTAGTTACAGTGAGACCTCCCCGCTGCTCCCATTTACATAGGGTTTTGATAAGTCTTAAATGAAATGCAACATATTTCTATTTTAAGTGAGAATGAAGCCCACTGCAGCAGATATACAGCTGACAGTGATGTTGCAGATAACTGGAATAAAGCACTTTAATTCCACGAAAACACAAGGAAACTTCATTATTTAGTGTTTGCAAACTACCCCAAATCTGATTAACACCAGTAGATGTCAGTGTTGGCATATGCCAATGTGCCAATATGTTATGAAAAATTGTGTTTATGTCATAAACAATTTATATGCTGTTTGCATGCATATACCTAGTTATGTTTTTCTTGTTCCTCTGTATATATAATAATAGACGAAACATTCAATATATTTTGTGCTTGTAATTCTGGTACTGAATAATTATACAAGTGACAACAGAAGTAATTATTGTACTGTCAAACAAGCAAAAACAAGAATAGCTAAATATACAAATGTATTTTCTACTCTCTTAAGTAAAAAATATTCATTATCAATTTTTACATAAATCCTGTAAAATACCTGTTTAAGTGATGAATGATAGTAGACTTGTAATTGTGATTGCTGCTATTCTCTAAAATAGTTTTACTAGTTTCTTAGAAGTAATATGTTCTTCAGATCTAAATCTCGCTTTTCAGGTGCCAGGAACAAAGGAAATAAAGATAAGTTATTATAGGATTTTATATGTATATATATATATATGTGTGTGTGTGTGTGTGTATGTATGTATAATATATGGACTTATACAGATAAGTATGAGTTACACTGTGTTGCTTAAGTGTTCAGTATTTTTGAAATTGAAACATTGACAGAAAATTAAGATGCATAATTACTTCAGCAACTTTCTGAAGTGAAATTCTTTTCCAAGGTGATTGCCATAGGTGAGGTTATTTAAAATAATAAAGGGCAAGCAAACAATCAGAATCCTGTCCCAAAGTAATCACAAAAAATACTGCTCAAAACCAGCCCAACGTTCCTGCTGATAAAATTTCTCTTGGTTGTTTAAGTATATCTAACCATAACCAGTTCTTGAATTGTGTATTTGCCATGCATGAAGTTACTTATTTTATAAAATGTACTTCATGCTTGGAGGTTACTGTTATATTGTGACTTCATTTACAAGTAATATACACCATAGACCTAGTTGTGGAAGTCTTAAAACTAGAGGCTTAGCAGCAGTTTTCTTGAATGAGTTAAGTCATTTTAGCCTTTAGCTCTTTCCTTCTGAGAAAAAATAAAAGCATTTCTAGTTTGATTAAAAATTACCTACTTTTCTATTTTTCTAATTTCAAACCTGACAGCATCCAAATAACTTAAACCCTCTTCTACGTTGCTGCAGAATTTGTTATGAAGGAGTTCCTGCTTCAGAACTGTTTCAGAATGATCAGAAAGATGGGATTTGCTCTCTTCCACCTCATACATCACAAACGCTAGCTGAGTGGCAAAAAGCTGATTGTAGTGTTAAAAAACCACAGCTTCAACTGGTAGGAGAGAAAGTAAGAAATAATTTTAATAATTATGTCATGTAATTGTGCAATTCTGCAATTGAAGCACAATATTTTGGAAGTATTTTTAAAATTTTTTTCTTCTGTTGCATGAAAGAAGTAAAGATTTTTCTTTTTTGACATTTGACAAGATGCAGTGTAACAATATTTAAAGTTTTTATTGATGGAGAGTGTTATTCTAAAATCTCATGGCTCAGTTCTCATCTGTGATAATATTATGCTAATGTGCTAATAACAAACATAACTACAAACAGTGTAATTCTTCTGGGTGGCAGAGCCCTATCAGTCACAAAATTTCATTGTATTTGATGCGCTTTAAAGTGGTGTGTCTTTTGTTTTTTTTTCTTATGAAATCATGTACAAAATCATATTTTATCACCTAATAGTTTAGACTAAATACTGACAGAAATAAGCTTGATTTGTGTTAGTTGATAACTGCATTCCATTGGTTTTGAAGGTTTCCATTTATCCAGAAGCTTTGAAAATGTTTTGGGCTCCTGTTCCACCAAAGTTCTTTGCTCCAATTTCTTCTATGAAGGAAATTTTATTTCCTAAATATGAGGTAAATATTCTGAAAACATATCTTTTGCAAAAATATTTGATTTTCTAATGTTATATTTGTTGAATGTCATAGTTGCATTTTGAACTGCTATTTTAATAATGCTTCACTATTTCTAAGTGTGGTATATAACTCAGTGTACAGTTTGTATTAATATACACTACTTAGTATTATTTAATTTCCATTTTAACAATAAGAAAGTTTCTGGTAGTAGTTCTTTAGTAGAATTAGTAGTTACTAATTGCTACTCTATCTGTCTTACTGGCTTTCAACATAAATGTAAACATATTTTTGCACAGGCTTTCTTCTGCTGTGCTGGCTGAGGTATATATCAAAGTTTAAAAAAATTACAACATCTATCAAAGTCTATTTTATCAGTTGCCAATGTTTTTGAATTATGAATTTCTTGAATGTAAAAACTTCTCTATGTTATGTTGTTAGGTTATGTTGTTGCAAGAGATTAGCCTTTCATATAAAAGGCCATGCCTACTGGAATCCCATATTCATGGTACATTGCACCTTCCTATGGCAAAGCTAACAGAAAAAACAGCCTTTCACAACCAGTCCACACCCCTGTGCAAGATGTGAAACACACTTACATCTGGATTAATTAACAGCAGGAATAAACTTTGTTATTTGCTATTTCCTAGCCTTACTTTTACCTGAACTGAAAGCTGTGTTAGTGTTATTATATGGACTGCTGTGAGCTGACATAAATTACAAAGGCTACAGATAAAAACTTTATGGAATCAGGTAGCAATAACTGTTTATTTCAGGTTATATGCCCCTTTTGCACCATATCATTCTTGATCTTAATGTGTTCCACTGCCTGTCCTTCAGTAGTTTAAGATAAATGGCTTCTATGATGTTGATCTTGATCATCATATCTCTTTAGCTCAAATATGGAATAGGCTTGGCTTGTCTGTTACTATGGTTTCTGTAGCTGACAAATAATAATGTTGTACTTATTTAAATATGTGAATATATTAATATTTCAGAGCAACGTTATTGAAGATATCACGTATGAAGACTTCTTAATTGATTATGAAGAAGAGTTAGAAACTGAGCAAGCTGATCTTGATTTCTATGATTTGCCAGTGTGTATCATGGTATTTTTTTGAATGTGATTAAGCTTAACAAAACAATTCTTAGTTTGAAGTCGTAAAGTGATATATGTATGGTTGACTGCTGATATGTGTGCAAATGAAATACAGTATTTAAATTTGGTTCGTTTTTGAATATATGGAAAATGCTAGGTTTCATGTTTTAGAACCCAAGACTATTCTTAGTTGTTTTTGGAGTAGGAGCTATAATGTAAATGAGAGATTTCTGGGGTACAACAGAAAGGTTACTGGATGTTCCATTACATACAGCCATCTAAAAAAAACAGTGGGAGGCAAGGAGGAGAACGGGAAGAGGAATATTTCCACATATATGAATTTTTTATGTAGAATTTCTCTGAAGGTATTAAAAATGTTAAAGAATAGTCAAGAAATTCTGTGCAGGTGATTTGTAAACAAGAACTATGAATGTAAGTTGTAGTGTGAGTCTGTCCATTTATAAAATCGTGCACATTTTAAATGGCTTTGGTCTTTGGAGGCAGTGCGGTAATGAGACCCATAGGCTTCACAGAGAGCCTCAAGTGCCAAATTATGCTATTCACTTCAAAGTGCTAACTCTATGTAAACATATTTAAGTGAAAGGATCTGAGAGGTAGAAGTAGGTAAAAGCTTACCAGATCCCACAGGAATATCTGAGTATTTGTGTATCTGAAACAACTGAGACCTGGTTTATTATGATATGATTTACTTTCACTTTTTGTTTTACTTATAGACAGAAAATCAGCTGAGAAGATGCCAGTCTTTCTCACATTTTTCTGACAGGGAGAGCTCAAAGGTATTTTATATTTACTTGTTCCCAAACTGTGATTTTCTATTAGGAGAAGAAATTCTTATGCTGAACTAAACTGAAGTTAATATTTTCGTATTAAATGAAAAGTGAACACTTCAAAGATCTTTTTCAAGTGCATTGGTTAAGCCAAACCTTTCAGTTTCCTATTAGGAGAACATAGCTTTGTAATGAGAAACTACCATTAACTTAACAGGCACTTGGAGAGAGGTAAGTGAGAGGAGCCTGTACTCCTTCAACGTGATATAAGTGGACCAGTGGGCCAGTAAAGATTTGCAGTATCTAGTTCGGATTTCTGACATATAGTGGGGTCAACATTAAGTTTACAATCCATAAGATGATGTCTTCTAAAATTGAAGTAATGTTAGGTGTTTCATGAAATGCATTAAGCTGCAGTAAATCATGCACGTTTTACACCTACACAACAAGGAGTTTATAGTTTATATAGGGTTTAATTGAGAAATTTGATTTTGAGTAAGAATTTGCAGAGGCTATATTTAAAAGTTCTGTATAGGTCATAAAAACCTGCTTAAAGTGTTATGGCCATTTTATTTGTAAGAGGGATAGGAAGCATGGTAGCAGTTCAAAGTGTACGTAATAATAAATTGAGTAACTTAAACATTGTCTGCAGTTTGAACTGAGCATTGATGCTTGATTTTTTTTTTTTTTTTTTTTTAAATTATCAGATTAACAAATGTTTTCTTTCCTCTTTAACCTTCAGGTAGTGGATATGAAATTGCATTTTAATTTCTTTGACAAATTTATGTCAAATTTATACCTCGTATTATAGTGTAAGACAAGTGAAATGGAGTTATCTAAAAGATTAAGATGCAATATGCTTTTAAATTGCAGATGTTATATAATGACTACAATTAAACACCAGATCATTACAATTATTCTTCTTTATTTTTTTATTTTTGTCAGGTGATTCGGGAATTGGGACACAAAATATAAGGATGCCTAATTCAATTCAGGTCTCAACTGTATTTCTAGTTAGTACAATTTCCAGTATTTCCAAACTTCACAGTTGTCCCATCTTTTATTCTAGTGTTATGAATATATCTCTGTTCATCTTTTTTTTTTTTTTTTTTTTTTTTTAATTTTTAATTTTACCACCAGTGGTGTACATTTTTCACTTTAAAATTTTTCCATTCCTTCTGGGGGGGGGGTTATCTACTTCAAATTTCTCATGATAACATTCTAGAGAAAATTAATTTTAGCCTTATACGACCTTCAAATAACTTTCACTTAATGTTTCAGATGCCCTTATTTTGATACATATCTGGAGGTGTGTGGCTCTTTTGTCCCATTCAATACTACATGGTTTTCAAGTATAGTATCCCGGTTGCTTTTTTCTTTATAATTCTATTCAAAATAAAATCCAGTCCATTCAAACCAAGGAAATGTGATACGTAAATATTAATACAAATGAACATTTAAATGAAAAATAATTTCCTTTTTTTTTTTTTTTTAAACCAGATAAATTTGATTAAAAGATCAGCCTCTGCGCCGGAGATGACTGCTTTCAAACATGATACTATATTAAAGATGTCAGCTGATTTCAAAACCAGTATGAAAGAGTTGAAGTTTATGAAACAACAAATAGCTGAGTCAAAGGTTGAGACTGAGACTGCGAACAGCTCCCCTGCCAAGCATCTTTTGAGCCAAGTCTGTGATGATTGCCACTCAAAGACGACAAACGCACCAGTGGAAAAAATGCCTACTTTGACTGGACAAGAGGATAGTGAGAATACTGTACTTGCAAAGAGAGCTCAAAAGGCTGGAATTAAATATGTTATTGTCCCAAAAGGAAAGAGGAAGAAGAAATCAAGGAAAGCAATAAATACTAGAAAATTAGAAGCTGTGATTAAGAAATTAAATGAACCTCCAAGAATTCTTAAAAGGTCTTTTTTTTACTGTTTTGCCATTTTAAAGAATGTATTTTAATTTGTAGCTGTATTATCTAATTACAGCTGTTATTTTTTTACATAATAAGTATTGCTCTAAAACACTGTTCTAGTGAATGCTTATTATTTATATATGGGTTACCTTAAAAAAAAAAAAAAAAAAAAAAAAAAAAAAAAAAACAAAACTTTTGTTTTTATTTTACCAAAATGATACTTTTTAAATACAGCTGCTTAAAGTGTAAGCTCAAAAAACCTCCCAAAGTTATTCTTGTTTTGTTTGCAGTCATGCTTTGTGTCCCCAGTGTAACTTATATTGATTCTTTGGCCTGGTCTTTCAGGCCAGTTTCACATTCAGTTTCTCCTTTTTCTGCCTTTACACTTTTCTGTATGTTTATTGTTAAGAAAATCAATATACTGAAATTACTGAGTGATAAACTGCTATAATAAGAAGAAACTTAAGGAGATGGTGGCCTTTCTCCAAAGTTCTGTTTTAGACAGTACTATGAAGTTGTTAAGTATTTTATATCAGTTCATTTAATCCACAAAGCTTTTATCTTTGTATTATTTTACATATTCATACACAAGATTGCTTTATTTTTCCTTCAATTTCTCTTTTTCTCAGTGGGAACTTCAAATTTAAAATATAAATATTATAATTATGTACCTTTTATATAAAAGCATTATAGATTTCTTAGTATTCTCTCCTAGTATTTCATTCTGTGTTAGCAAGGCTAGAGTATTCTTTGTGAAAAATATTGAATGTTTTTGTTAAAGATTTGTTTCTTTCACTTTGAGGTCCCAAGCAGATGTTAATCACGATCCTTTGTGGAGGCTCTTTTAGAACAGGCAGTTTTTCTTAGCTTACAATTTTGGAAGTGTCCTTTTGAGTTCATGTGGTCTTGTTGTAGTTGTTTAACTTTGATTGCTAATTCTTATATTTTCATGGCCTTCTTTGAATATATATCATCCATATAGATAGATATCTGTATCATATATATATATATATCTATATATGTATCTATTATCAATATATTCATCTATCTAGTATTTGTCATCAACATATTTAGCCAAACTGAAATATTGTCCTTTCTTAAAGTTAGCACTGTCGTAAACTGAAGTAAGAAGCTTTTGGAGGAAATTAACATGAAATTGCAAATAAGCACTGAACTACTTGGGATCATGGATCATTCAGGATTCTGCTTACCTCCTAACTTCAACAGTATTCTTTATAAGTGGCTGGTGTTTAAAAGTCATTATTATTCATAAATGTATTGTCAACTCTTTTGTTAATTATTGATTGGCAGACTGTAATTTAATATCATTAATATAGCTGAAAACATTTAGTTGATTTTAATATATTTTTTCCTTAGGTCTGTGTCTCTAGGAAGACTTCTTATTCATAATGAATTCATTATCAAGGTGTCGCCAACAATCAAACTATATCAAAGCCCAAGCGTCCCTTGTTTGTTGGATTTTGAAAAGTTTGCTAAAGTGAGGGGTGGAATTCCAAAAGAAACTTCTGCTCGTGCGTGGGTCAGTGGAATCTGGAGCTGCTGGTTTGATGAGACATTCCCTGCTAGTGGGACTGTTCCTGAGAAAGGTCCTGAATTGCTAGAAGGAGCTAAGGCAGTTGGCTCTAAAGAAACAAATCTACAAATAGAACTAGTTGACTCAATACAACCTGTTCTGCTTGATGATGCAGTAGTTAACACTGAAGATTTAGAAGAAGAAGTAAGAAGACTGACTGATCTAATAGAAAAGGTTGAGCATCCTTCAGCCTTTCAATATTGCAGGCGTGGAGCAATACGAAGAAAGTTAGGCAAGCTAAAATCAGCTATGGATGACTTGGAAAAAGTAAGCTTAATGCCAAGCTTTCCTACTGTGTCATGGCCCCCTGCCCCCTCTATTCTTTTTTTTTTTTTTTCTTTTTTAAACTGATCTTAGGACTCTTGCTCAGGATACAGTGCTTAAGACCTGAAGTGATACGATGTATGTTGGAGAGAGGATAGATGGAAAGGATGGAGGCTATTTGCTTCAAGTAATGCTACTGACAAACATATTTTTAATTTCCACAAAAGCATAGTGAGAAATTAAAATGGAAAGTAATGTATTTTCTTTCTATGATTGAGCTATCATTTAACACTGATGTTTTATGCAGTAGTATTAGTGGCTTTCTGTGCATATTTGTTTATATAACTTTGTTTCCTCTGTACAGGGGAACAGCAGGACTACAAAACCTGCTGTTAATTCTGCCAAATACCCTGCACAACTAGTCAGAAGTAATCCAACAGAATAAAAACACTGACAAAAAGGAAAAAAAAGAAATGAATTTTTTACCTTGAACTTCAGAAATGGGCAGTCAAGTGTCTGAAAAGGCCGAAAATTCCACACTGACAAAATGACCAATTGACCAGTGGGCCCCTTTTAACTACTTGCAAAGCTACTGCATAATTTAGTGAAAACATTGACTGTTATTTTCATGGTACACAAACGCAATCTCTGCGTAGTTAATGGATCCTAGAAATGGCTTACAGACCCAAATCTGAGAATTACTTTTGTAGCAGACCAGTCTCAGATGTGTATCTGTCTATATACTTATTTCCATATGGCTGTTAAGTTTGTATTATCTGCACAGTGATATATATATATGGATAAGATCTATCAAATAATATCTTAGGGTATTAGGAATATAGGAATATTAGCATATACTAGGAAATGTGAAGTACTTTTATAGGAATGGTAACAGTGTAGTTTGAAAAATGGATACATTTTTAATGGAGACATACCTATTCAAAAGTAAGAAATAAGCAAGCAACATTGTTTCACACAGTTTCTAGAAATAATTCAGGTAACTACTAAAGAAAGAAATCTGGTAATATCACAACTGATCTGTTTTATACTGAATTCTGGTAGACTGATTTCTGATTCTGCATATTTGTAAGCATATATTGCTTTTAAATGGGTGCATCAGTCAAACTCTTCAGATTTATGGGTTAAATAGAAGTTTGTCTAAAATTTATTAAAAATCATTTTAGTACAAAAAGATTTCATTTCCCATGTGCTATTGTTAGCACACTTCAGAATTTTCTTCTGCAAAACAAAATATTATTCTTATTTTGTTTGTAGGCTATAAGCTTAGAACCACTACTACTTGATGCTTATTGGCATAGACATTTGATTTACCTCTTTCAAGATAAATTCTCTGCTGCTTTAAATGACCTGAATTTCATTACTAAATGGAACAAAAATAAAGCAGGTAAGTATCTACTGAAGCGTAATTTAACTTTCTAAACAGCTGGCTTTTCATCCAAAGTAGATATTTAATAAACTTCAGTTGGTTTATCCCTATTATAGGAAAACTGTGAAGCTGACATCTTCAAGTATTTGCGACAGGAAATTGATTTCTAAGAAAAAAATAAGTACTTAATTTCATTGTACTTAAAAAAAAAAGAAAAAAAAAAAAGAGAAAAAAAGATTATTATACTCATTAATTTAATGGGGAAAGCTGATTTCCTGTAGTGGGGACAACGTGCTATTTTGCATTCGGTCAGACCTGTTCTACTGTGAGCTTTATAGTATGGAGGAGGACCTTAAAAGGAAAATCAAGTTTGGTCCATGTCTTCTAAAGAAGAATTGTATAAGGTTTTTAAGTGCCTGTTATCTGTATGGATTGGGAACTGGTAGCTGAGTACCAGCCCTCCAGAACAAGTTATGCGAGTCATCAGTGCAGCCTTGCAGCAGGGGAGGCTAGCTGTGCTCTGGATACATTGAAAAGTGTGGCCCTGCAGGTGAGGTAAAGTGATTCTCCCCTGCCTGATTGTGGTGTTGAGTCTCCAGTACTGTGCTTGATATGACAGAGGGAAACTGGAGAGAGTCCTTTGAAAATCTGTGAGGTGCCTGGTCATGTGCCTCAAACGTACCTTTTTGTATGGAAAGGCTGAGGAAGCTGATTTAGCTTTGAGAAAGTGAGGCTAATAGGTAAATGTTCTCAGCTATGTGATGCATAGTAATAGGAAAGACAGAATCAGACTTTTCTTTGAGATGCTCTGTCAAATGGGAGATAATATGTGCAAGTTGCAACAGCGGAGATCTTTGGGCATGAAAATATTTGCTGCAGGAATGGTGAAGTACTGAAGCAGATACTTCTTGGAGATTTAAAATCTGCATAAGGCCCTGCATTGCTTGACCTAAAATTTAGTCCTGAAATTAAGCCCCTGGACTAGGGGAATTGAAAGCTCCTTTGTGATCTACCTTTTTTTTTTTTTTTTTTCTTTAATGCTTCTTCAACTAACTCAGATTTTAATTTGCTGAAACCATTTCTATGTGCAGAACATCCGAAGGATAGGTAAGCAATATGTTAAATTTTAAAGTCACTGTATTGTTGTTTTGACCACAATAAATTCATTATATGATCTCATTGCGTTGTTTAAATTGTTAGAGTTGATCAGAAATGCCTACATTTGATGATAAACATCTATATACTGCAAGTAGGTGTGGGAAGTATTTTTCATAAGGAGAAAAACTTTAAATTGAAGGATGACAGTGCAATACATGTGAGTGTACATTTTTCACGGACAAATGTTGAGTTGTGAATTAGGGGAGATTTCTAACCATTTTAGGAATGAAACTCAGGAGTGGCTTTCTAAATTGAGTAATGTAGTTAAGTGAGGATTTTAAAGCAGAGCTCTATAAAGTGAAATGAATTTTATAACAGTATTTAGCAGTGGTTATACAGATGTAAATTCATACTGGTCTTTGGTTGTCAGGTCCTTTACTTTATTGGAAGTGAGGGAAAAGTGACTTGTTTCTTGCATTACATCTATTACATGTTACTCAGGGCTTTGGCTAAGCTATTTGTAAGGACCTGCGGGTGGTGTGGCTTTCTTTATTTTTTTATTTTTTTTTTCCACCCTCACTTTCAAATATCTTGCTTATGCTCTACTTATGATCAGTTTTAACTGATCAGTGGCCAGCCTTGCTTAGGGCTAGGAGAAACTATTTTACTCCTTCATCAGATTGTCAGTGTCTACTGGAGAGTTCTGTTTTCTTATTGGTATTGTGGTTGAGGCTACAGAACACAAAAATGAGAACATTGTACTTCTGAGGATCATTTGGAAGTTTTGTATTACTTGCTAGTGTGGAGGCTTAAAAGATTATTAGTGCCTTTGTTTTCTGCTGTTCTGGTGCCACTGTCCTCAGTGCTCTATTACAATTTTTTCTTTGAATTTTTTTCACTAGAAGTTTGTTAGAAGGCGTTGGGAAGTGTTCAGCCATTTGTGGTTGTGAACATTTGGGGTGAGTTGACTCAAGCCAGCACCTAAGGATCTGTATAGCTGTTCCCTTGCTCTACCCCACCCCTGGCAGGATGGGAGAAAATAGGTAGATCAAGAGAGAACTTGTGGCTTGAGGTGCTAACACTTTAACAAATAAAAAGGAAAGATACAAAGGAAAGGGAATACAATCACTCACCACTTCACACATGCAGTATTGATACCCCTAGTTTTAGCCCCAAATTCAAAACATAGCACCACATGGGCAGTTAAGAAGAAAGCTAGCTCTATTTGACCAGGCTCAGTAACTATTTACAGTTACTGAAAACCAAATCTACTCTGTCTGTTTGTGGTCAACATGACTAACTCAAATGGCTTGATGGGACATTTCTACTGAGCTCTGCAGAGAGGAAAGAGATTTGAGCTCTTGTGGGATTCATGGGTACTATCAGTTTCCATCTATATGGGCTTGAGGACAGAGCACACAGCTTTAAATTTCTGAGCTCTGTTCCTCAGATTAAATGACTTCCAAACTTTTTGGTTTAATTTCTACTGCTTGTTTCAAATACTATGTAAGAAGGAGATGACATTATTTTGGACTGCTAAATAAAATAGTGCCTTTTCTGTTTTGTGGGATTATTTCAGATGCATACCTGTCAAAGGCTGAAATTTACAGAAAACAGGGTGATAATACAATGGCAATCTTCAATTACAGCTCTGCAATACAATGCAACTCTACAGATGATGACATGTATTTCAGAAGAGCTGAGTTGTATTTTGAGGAAAATCAATTGTTGTTGGCTGTAGATGATTATGCCAAAGTAAGTTAACTTTTTTGTATTGTTACAATAATGTCGTAGTTCTTGTTAACTTTGAAAATAAACTGTATGTGAATATATCTGGAAAGTAGCTTTGAGCACAGATATCCTTTCTAATAAATGATGTTTTAAAAGAAATCAGTGTCATAAAAATTATTTATTTCTGTTATTCCTGTCTGGTAATTCAGTAAATTACTGAATGTCTACACATTCTCAGGCACTGATAAGTTTGCATCATTGCTACTCTATCTCACTGAACTGTTAGTGGAAATGATAGCAGAGAAGAGAATTAGGGGAAAAAAAAAAAAAAAAAAAAAAAAAAAAAGAGAATGAAGAAATGTAATTTTATAACATTATTTTTATAGCATTATGTAATTCTTTATTTTTTTATTATAGTGTTTTCAGTGTAACCCAAAAAGAACAGATGCACGTATGAAACATGGAATATATTTCTTTGACCATTCAATTTTGACTACAGCTATTCAGGATTTTACAGCTGTGATTAGAGAAGACCCTAGCAATGCTCAAGCAAGGTATAATATAGAGTATGACATAAATATTTGAATTTTGATTGGATTATTAAAACATTACTATGCAAAAGACTAAATATGCATTATACAGTAATAAAGCAATTGCATTTTCAAAGAGGCATATGTCAGAAATAGAGTAAGACTATTAGGCCATGATATTCATTGAGGAATCTTTGTATTGCTTTAGTGACTTTGGATTAGTACCTAAACCTTAATTTAACTAAGGATAGAACCATATATTCAGATTCATCTGAAGTATTGCAAATATACAGTGGGTTGGATTGTGCTTTGCTGTAAAGAACTGGATTTAAATAAATGCTTAAAGTGAAGAATATCTTCAGTATTGTGTAGATCTATGCTGAATTTCAATTTGTTTTCTTGACACTTCTTAACATTATGCTTAGTTAATGCTTTCTGCAGGGCAAAAAAAAAATCCAAATATATGGATGAGAATAATCTTTATTTTCAAATTACAACAATGTTTTTGAGTTTTGACTCTGAAAGACTGTTTTTTTTTTTTCTTGGTTTTTTTTTTTTTTCATTGGGAAATGTGTTCAATTTTTATTAAAGTTCCTACAAAGTTTTACATTATTTCTATACTGCAATCTATGAAATAATTAAAAAGATGCAAATACCATATGATGACGCTTCAATTTTGATGTAAGTGCTATTTCCTTGAGATGAAGAACTTTGAATTTCATTGAAGAGTAGTATAATAGGTGACTGTAAACCTGTCTGCTTTAAATATTGAAAATAGAATGGATGTTTTCAGAAAGCTTTAATATAGTAATGAGACTGCTTTTATTTCTTGTTTATGTAAGATTTGAGGAAAATTAGAGTTTTCCATACTCACACTGCTGCACCAGTACTCTGTGGAACTCAAGAGAGTCTCCCATTCAACTCATCTTTAAGCTGATAGTGCTGTGTTATATTGAGCTTGGATTATTGAAGTGCAATAATCTGCCTATATGGTATAGGTTGTATGATCTTGTTCCTTTAGACTTCTTTTAATGCACTGAGAAACAGAATAAGCATTTGCTTATATTCTTCAACATTTTCTCCTCTAAGTGCTTCAAATTTGCATGGCATTAAAGAAAGGATGCTTGTTATTAAGTTGACTCAAATTATTCCTTCTTTATTAGGCTATATCGAGGAAGAGCATATGCTAAACAGAAGCAGTATAGAAATGCAGTACAAGACTTGGCAGCAGCAATTCATCTAGACCCCTCTTGTTGGTTAGCATTCTACTATAGAGGTTGCATCTTTCGGGAGATTGATCCAAAAAGAGCTCTGCAGGACTTCAGTGTTTCTGGTACTGTTACTTCTAAAGCTGCACATCTTTGTTTAAAAAGATCATCAGCCATTAATTACTATATTATAGTACAACAAAATTATTTCCTGTTCAGTTGCTGGAAAATATAGTTGTTTTTCAGTATATGCTAATAATTTGTTCCTTTTCTATTAAGTTAATTACATCAACTGTTGCTGCTTTTGCTACTCCTCAGGTATTTTCACTCTGATCCCTAAGCCTTTTTTATTTCAATTCTAACAGTTTGAATGAATGTAACTGAGAATTCTATACACCTTGAAGATATTTGAAGCACTATTAAAACTAACTGTATTATGATATAATGTGTTGTGTTACAATGCTGTTAAACAATTATATTTTATAAAACTCTTGGAAAGCTAAAGAGTGAACTGTAGGTAAGTTGAGTGGAGTAACAGAAATACATGAGGATATTTTAACTATTGATTTTTCATTTCTTTTTCACAGTACTCATCAATGACACTCAGGAGAATTTTTCTGCTTTTCTTCATCGTGGGGTCATTTACTCAAAGCAACAGCAATGGTCATTTGCAATCCGTGACTTTGAAAGCGTCATAGCTTTGGACAGGTAACTGGACTTGACAGTTTCAGTGTATTTTTTTTATATTCTTATTAACTTAAAGCATAAAAATACTAAAAAAAAAAAAAACAAAAAAAAACACCCACCAAAAAACCAAACCAAAACAAAACAACACACCAAACCCAAAACAAACAAACAAACAAAAACAGCCAAGGAAATAAGTACTAATAAAGGAAAGTGAAGTCACTACTTAGAAAAGAGATTGAAATTAAAACACAATGTAATACGATGCTGTCTCTTCACAGTATCTTTCTTCTCTTTTAACCTAGTACAAAATACAATAAAAACTATTTATTTGTTTTGGATTTAAATTTTATTTTACCTTATATGGCAACTTGGCAAACAAATTGCTATTTGGCAAATGAAAGATGAAATTGAAATCTTAATTAGAGGTGATCATTCTTGCTAAAATTATTTCACAGGTCTTCTGAAAGGAAATTTACATTATGCAATTATACATACAATGCAGATGAAAGCACCTTTTTTTTAAAAAAAAAAAAATTGTTACAATATTTTGCTTAGCAAAATCAGCAGTGTCCATGAAATAAATTAAAACAAAAAATTCCTGATAACACAAAATAAAACAAAACTGCTTGTGATCTGTTACAGTTGGTGACTAAAGCTCATGCTGTTTCTGTGAGTTGGACTTCTTCCTACCACTTAGCACTCTATAAACAGGCTGTTTGCATGGTAGGCTTCTGCACACAGTCTTGCAAATTGAAAAAAGCTTCCTATTCCAGTTATTTAGATTAGTTACCCATTCTTTTAAGGTAGAGTTCTTTCAGTTTCAACAGTCTTGTTTTGAGCAAATACTTCCATTTCAATCTGTGGCGGATGTACAATCCCCTCAGCTCGCCTTTTTTCTTGGCTTTTTTGTTGGGAATCTAGAACTTGCCTAGTAACTTTCTCCAAGAGATGGCTGCACAAGATATTGTAAATCCTGGAATCCCTGATCTTTCACACTGCTAGCCAAAGAAGTAAAGGAGCAGGCTAAATGGGCGATGTGTATGTTTTGTTGGAGTCTTTTATAAGTAAACTTTTATGCTTTTATGTTGGAGAGTTCAGTGTTTCTTGGTGTATTCAGAATATGTGAATTACCATCTATGTCTACTGTTAATCTATTCTGTGCATAGAAGCTATCTCCTCAGCTGGAAATTAATGTTATTTTGCTCAGTGTGATCACAATATGTTGTAAATTTCATAAAAGCAAATTAAGCCTGTTGCAGAGTTTATATAGTTATGTATTTAATGAAATAACAAAAGAGAAATCTTTTTTTTTTTTTTTTTTTTTTTTTTTAGCTCTATCATCTGTGCTTACTTAAATACTGGTTTGATACTGCTGTTGCATCTGGATCAATACTATGAAGCAATTCGGCAGTTTACTAACGCTATAAAAATTGATCCTCTCAATGTTCAAGCCTACTTGTGTAGAGCACAAGCATATCACAAGGTAATACTCCCCTTTAGTTTTTGATCATCACTTATACAGCTCTATATTTGGTGTTGTTGCAAGTATTTTAATATTTACAACTTGATGTTGCATCGTTATAACCTGTTTATAGCTATACACTTCAAGTAGTCCTCATCACTATAATAGAATTACGTGCATTTTGAATACTGTAAAACAAACTTGGCATGTGATGCAACAACATAAAATATTTCAATTTTCATTCAATTTTCTTCTATGTCAGTGTTCATCTACTCAGAGCTTTAATAAAATATACTCAAAATAAATTAAAATAAATTGAAATACTTTTTTCTGGACCTAGGGTTCCTGAGAACTTTTGTTTTTCAGGAAACTGGAAGCTGTTGTAAAGTTTTAATTTCCCATTAATATATTTTACATCTGTAACAGCTTCGGCTAGCAGTTGCTTTTTGTGAACTTCTCAGGAGCATGAGAAACATAGTCTTCAGTGTGACCTAATTTCTGTGGACTGTCATTGGAAAGATGGAAATAATTATTTCTCATTTAAGTGTTTTGAGGATTATTTAACACTGTTCACTTTGTTTGTCTAAAGAAAGCTACTTTTAACTCATCAATTCACTTGGATGGACTCTTATTAAAAAATAAAATTTAAAGATATGATACTGACTTTAAGAACTTGTCTCATAGTTCACATAGAATGTCTTCTACTAATGCTCAGGTTGCTTCTAGTTTTTTGAAATATGTAGAGTAGCTAAATTAAGATTAGTATGTGAATTTCAGCAATACTATTTGATGGCAGTTCCAGCAGGCACCTAGCCATCTGGATAGATTAGTCCCTGGGATCTTTTCTGCAATGATTCCTGCCATTTCTCCTCCCCTTCTGAAAAACAGTGAATGGGACCACAGACACAATCTTGACAAATCATTGCTGTAATGATTTGCATTTAAAATCAATCAGGAAATATGTTCATGTGGATCTCATTATCTACTCTTCTTCCCAGTAGTCCAGAATCTTATTTGGATTTTGGAAAAGTAAAGAAAATGTCTGCTGTTGAAGTCTGCTGTGTGGGAGAGTATGGAAATCTGTAGGTGGCAGACCTTTTAATTAAAAAGCGTTGAGCCCTTACTTTAGAAGGCATATCCCTCATGAGTTGTTATTATTACATGGGTACTATGACCTGTAGGACCACATTTACAGAAATAATTGTCTCCAAGTTGTGTTCATAATACCAGCTAAATAGTAGAGTTTTTTTGTTTTAAATTACAGATTCATAATTTATCACATGCTGTGAAAGACATAAATCGAGTAATTCATCTTTATCCAGATAAGTCAGAACTGCAGATACTAAGGTAGGAAAGTGTTTAGTGGAAGTCTTCACATGTACCTTACCCTTAACAGCATTTCCCATTGGAAATATTTTGGTAGATGCTTTGTGTGCCTTGAACCCTGCTCTCAATAGGTTAAAAAAAAAAGTATTTTAATGGCATTTTCAAACCTTAGGAACTTTATCTGTATAATGTCATCCTGTTAATATAATCTCAAAGGAAATGTAATTTTGTAATTCCTACAATCTGCAAAGAAGTAAGCGTATTGTTTCTTGGTGCTTTTATGTTAGAGGAAAAAAATAAAATTGAATATATACTTCTGATGGTCATAAAAAGGAAAAAATTCAAATGCTTTTATTGAAATGCATTGTTTCTCATTTTTTTTTCTCTCTTTCTATAAAAGAAAATATATTGCAGCAGCATTTGCATTTTGACAGAAATACCTGGGAAGAACTTTACTAATTGCATCCAACAAATATTTCCTTACAGGGGACAGTATTTGTTGGAGTTGAAGAAATATGAGCTGGCAAGTTTATGTATTCATCAACTTGCAAAAATGAATGAAGGTAATGTCAATTTGCTTGTGTTGTTGTGTGATCTCTAATCAAGGAATTATGATTTTTATAAAAAAAAAAATGTTCAAGCGCTCTAATAGGTTTGTTATAATGAATCAGCTACAATATGATAACTTGATATGTACATTATTTCCTGATTACCTCCTGTGATTTCAGAATTTCTTTCTTTTGAGTTCTTGTGGTGGTGTTCTTTTTTGAGTTTGTGTGGTGGGTTTTTTGGTGCTTTTTCTTCCTTTCAATTTTGGTGACTTCTGCTTTAAAAGGAATACTGAGTAAGGATTCTGTACTGTACTTCTTTATGGTCCATCCTAAAGAATACTACATAGCTCCAGGATTAAGCCTCTGCAATGCATTTGAACAGTAAAAATGTTGCAGTATAGAAGTTCCTTTTTATGTGATGAGCGTAAGGTGTCAGTGTCAGTGCATCCTTACAGTTATTTAGGAATCCTTATCAATACCTATTCTGCTCAAGATGAATGATCTGTCTCTGGTAGGGACAAACTGTTGGTGCAGAGTATAATAATATAGAAATGATGCAAGTGTGTGGTGATACTTCAACATAGCACAGACTTCCTAGATAAGGGGAGAGGAGGGTTTGTGGATGTTTAGCTGTTGAGCTGCTTATTAATAATTGTTCAGCCTGAGATTTTTATATGGAATTTTGTTAGTCTTTTTGAAACAAACTATTTACAATATTCTGAAATTCGTATGTAATTTAAAGAGATTTTATACTGGAAAACACATGTTGAAGTAAAAGATTATAATTTTCTGTGATGGTTTTCTTCCAGTGTCCTTTCAGATTCAGCCTGTTCAGCAAGCACTCATACAGTCATTTTGTCAAAATCACAGTAAAGCCATAGAATGCTTACGTGAAGCTGCTACAACTCAACCTGAGCCTTCAATGTTTGTCCTCTTAGGAAAAATGCAAATGAAAGCTGAGAAAATAGAGGTTAGAAAGATTTGTTATACTCCTATGCCAAGCAAGACAATGTTTTTTCTTAATTCTTTCCATATTTGATATCTTAGTATGTAAATAAATCTTTGGTGCACCTTACTGCTAAAATTTAAGAAGACTTGTGTAAAGCTTTTCAATAACAGCAATTCTGCATAATTTAGGCAATTTGAATTTTAAAACATTTTTGTTAAAATAAATTATTAATATTTTTGTTAAACAACTGACCTTATTCTATAACTGTATATAACAATTTTTCTTTTTTGTGAAATAACTATAATATCTAGTGTTCTTTTTCTAATTACTGTACAAATATTTCATTAATGTATATGTAGTGAATATATAACATTGCAAGTATTTTTCAACTTCTTGAATACTTACATGTCATAGGATTTAACTAATACTGTCACTTCTCTGGCTCATGTAGTTAGCTAATGCTTGAAGCCTGCAGAATTGTTGAAATCAGCATTATGGATATGCAATTTCTTTTTGTACAGTCCTATTTATTTATGCAGAATGTACAGAGTCTTGTTTCCTTAAATAAAAGCAGCAAGCAACAGGCAGATCAAGAGTGACTTGAATCTACCTATATATTGAGTTGTGTATTTGACCTGCATGGTCCTTCTGTTTCATTTTAGGTTTTGTTCGTGCATTTCTTTAAATGAATGTTAGGTATACTCTATGCGAAGACTGTACTCCTCTGTGCTTGTATCAATTGAAATATCTTGACACATTCAACTAGTTTTTGTTAAGCTTTTGTGTTCTGTTAGTCTCAAATCATAATGGAGCAATATTATTTCCACTGTTTTTGAAAGAATGCTAAGTGGAAGATGGCAATTGTTAGTGCCATCTGATCCAGCTTTCAGCTGTCACGGTTAAGAGATGTGTATTAGAGTCCTACCCTGATTCCTCAGAGTATTAGTCCCAGGGAGGGGGCCTCACTGCTGGACAGGAATTAGACAATTCTTCTAATATGAGTAAATGACCAGACATCAGGCTATGCTGCTCCAGCATTAAGGAACTTTGTACTTGTCATTTTTGCATTTATGTTTCAAAGACTAAAACATTTAAAAATTTCACTCAAGTACTTTAAAATTCTTAAAATTCCCTGTATTGTAGGATGCTGTGGGAAGTTTTAAACAAGCTATAAATCTGCTGATGACCTCAGAAAAAATCCTTCCTCCTACATTTGAAGCTGCAGAAATGTATTATCTCATGGGCCTATGTTATATGGAACAAATAAATTTATTAGAGGTTGGTACTCGTTATATATATTTGACTTGTTTGGCTCTAGTGCCTATAGACAGAAGTGATAACCTCAGTATTTCCAACAGCCTTAACTGCCTGAACAATTCTTTATAACTTATGATGTACATTAGATTGTCTTGTGAGTTTGTGAATCATTTTTCAGTGTTAATGTTCTGATTTTTAATGTATGAAAATAATTCATATTCTGATATCATTAAAAAGTGGCACTAATTTCTTTCTTATCAATACTTTCACAGATCTTATAAATACTCATGTAGTAATTAGTGGCTTTGTTAATAAGTGCTGAACTTAGACAAAGGAAATCCTAGATTATTCTATTCATTATGGAGTTTGTATTTTAATTGTCTTTTGTATTACTGTAGCTGAAAACACTCCCTAGATGGTTCTATTTGGCACTTAACTTACATATGATACTTAACAAAACAAATAGTAATAACAAACATTTTTCAATAAAATCAATACCACACATTAGAGGTATTGAAAAAAAAAACAATCTTCTTGAAAAAAACATTAGAAGTATTAAAGTCTACCTGTGAGCTCTGTGGCAGGCTTAGGGCGGGTTCTTGAAAATGTTTTCTATGTTGATATTTTAGTAAATATGTGTCAGTAGCTAATTTACCAAAGGCTCAAGACTGTAACTAAAATCATTTGAAACATCAAATTTTCACGGGGCACAATGTTTTTCCGTGTCTGCCTCTGATCTGAGTTGTGGTAAGTCAAAGTGACATTCTTTTGGTAGAAGGCTTTCAAAGTCGTCATATGTTACCACACCAGATAATCCAGACAACTGATGAAGTTAACTCTGCCATTGCACATCTAACATTATAGCTGTACATCCTGGAAAAGCCCATGACTGTGTAATGAGCAGTGTGGAAGGAAAAAATGCCTGGATGAATTATGAAGGAGTTTCACATCAACCACTGTCATAAATAATTGCACAATTTCAGGTTTTACAGACAGAAGACCATATGCTTTATAAGGTTCACTGAAGATCATAAAATGAGTTAGATTGTACCTCCCTGTGGTTGTGATTGTGCTATTAGGGCATTTTAAGTTGCAGTGGGCAAAAACAATAAGAAAGTGGACACGTATATAAATTATTTATGCATTTGGAATATAATCTCCCTGTAAAAATGAATCAGTTAACTGGCAGCCTATGGTTTCAGCTGTACAAACCAACTGTTTAAGTCAGATGATATGTAATTTTTTTTAGGCCTGTGATGCTTTTAGTATGGCTATCAGACTACATTCAAGTTGCCCTGATGCTTTTTATCAACGAGGGCTGTGTCGAATGCAACTCGGACAAACAAAGTGCATCCAAGACTTCAATCATACACTTGAACTTTGTCCATCACATTTCCAGGTAATATAAAAACTCCTGATGGTTTGTTTCCTTGAGGCATGTTAGGATAGGTTCAGAGTATGACTGGTTCTGCATTTATGGGTATGTTGCCTCGTAATCTGCCAGCAAGCACAATGATGGATATTTTTATAAAGCTTTTTTATTTCTTTTATTTAACCCTTGTCTTAAATAAGCAGCTTTTTTTCTTTTAGCATTATTCTGTCTTCAATTCTATAGGCATATATGGGTCGTGCTGCTTACTATGGAAGTAAAGGCAGATATTCTAAGGCAATTATGAATTGTAATGAAGCAATCAAAATTCATCCCAACAGTGTAAAAGCTTATTTTTACCGAGGAATACTGAAGTATCAAAATAAGGTAGGTATCTCTTGTTGCTGTACTGTTGCTTTCTCCCTTAGAGCTCAGTGTATGAGGGCCACGCTGAAAGTAATCCTTCCTATTTTATTATGGTGGCCCACAACATCAGAGGTAGCTATTGGTGGAATGGCAGTAGAGGTTGAACCCTCTGCCAGTATTCCATCACTTGTTATTGCTATGTGACAGGTGGCAGCAGAGGGGCACTCTGACACAATGATGTCTGACATGGAAATGTGTATGAAGCAAAGGCATGGAATTAAATACTTCCATGTGGAAAAAAAATTGCATTTGTTGACATTCATCAGTTCTTGCTTATGAGACCAAAGAGTGGATGTGTACGCAGTGAGGCAGTGGGTGGTATGTTTCAGCAGTGGCAATGTTTGTATGAAAGACAACCCATGTCCAGGCAGGCAGACTTCTGTGAGTGTGGCATGCAAACTCTTGTACAATGCTGGCAAAAATGCACAGCTAATGGTGGTGATTATGCTGGGGGGAAAAAAGTGTTTTGTAAATGAGAATTTTTTTTATCAAATAGCTACAGAGAACACTATAACACTATTATAATTTTCATGGAAACAGATAGGAGGCATTACTTTTGGAGCAGCCATCATATCTTACTTATCACTTCATAATAGTAAAATAATGGTAAAACTTTGGAAACCAGTGTTACTAATGGAACCTAATGATTATGTTGCTTTCTTGCCTGAAGCCACTCTGATCTGTATAGTTTTAATGATGAATTGAGCAAGCTACTGGGCATCTATCTGCATGTTCTATTCTGAAGTTCTACGGCATAGATTCTCACTTAATAATAGGCATGATATATACTTTTTGGGTTAAAAGATAAACCAGAAAAATTAAAGGTTGATTATGTGTTGCAACATATGAAAATTTTCTAAGCAATCAGTAAAAAATATTTGGATGTCCTGACTGTCCATATAGAGCTTCTGAAGAAGCATTCCCTTTACATAAACTCATTTCTGGTGAAATGATACCTTCCAGTACTGATGAAGAAATAAGAATGGAAAACTATGAAATCAAATTCTACAAAATGCTATTATTTCAGGAAGAATATATGATGCTGTGAACTATAATTTGTACTTGATGTGTTTTTCATTTCCAGACATTTAAAGCTGCAATTGAGGATCTTTCAAAAACTATTGTCCTTGACAATACCTGCATTTTGGCATATTATAACAGAGCAATCTGTTATCATCAAATAAAGAATTTCAGAAAGGTACAATACGCAATTTTACAACATCACATGATCACTCTGTTGTTAATACCTAGTCATAACACTACTTCACAAAAATTAAAAGAAAAATTCAGTTAATGCAAGTAGTGCTTAGTCTTTTCAGTAAAAATAAAATGTATTTGAAAATAGTTCTAAAAATACCTTATTTCAATAATAGATCAAGAATAATGCATTTATAATATTAAAAATAAGAATATAGACAAAAATTTTAGTAGTAGAAGCCACTATGAATTTGAGTTGGTAAAAAATTGAATTAACAAAATGAGTTTCAATGAAGTCTGTTTAATATATCTATATTATGTTTAATTTTGTACTCTGGGTTTGGATATCTATGTAATTATGGAAGGCAATGTATGTATCTCTCTGAATAAACAGTTGTTTAAAAAAAAAAAACATTTTACACAGGCTTTGAAAGATTACGGAATTTTTCTTCTGCATGAGGAGCACAAGGAAATAGTTTTAAAAGTGTTCATCAATCGTGGACTACTCTACATGGAACTTGGTGATTACGCTAATGCCTGTGAGGTAAAATAAATAAGCAAATGAATCCTTCTTTGTGTAGAGCAAATCTAGAGTTTCTCTTAATTATGAGCCCTTGGTTACATAGAGATAAATTTGCCAGATTTAGTATTTCTAAAATAACTTTAAGTTTTCCTTATTTAATTTGCATAGCATCTAATACCAAACTAGGCAGTGAATATGCAAATATAAGGCAGTCCTAGCCATTTTACAATTTTATACAGCTGGAGTTGAGCATAAGAATTGCAAGAAATTAATGTAATGACAACTGACTTGTCCTTTCTGTAAAACAAACAAACAAAAACAACAACAACAACAACAAAAAAATCCAAAAGCAAACGTAAGCAAAATGCAACTTTGTCATTTATTTTAGGTCTAAATAAGTACTGATTCATTGCAGAATCCAAAGTAAATGCAGGAATCTGTCTGTGTGAGCTTGTTTTCTCTTTGTCGATGTTTGTGTGCGTAAGTGACTTTTACTGAAAGACAGGGAGCCTCAGATCTCAAGAAAGAAATGTCTGACACAGTGCAGATGACTCATTCAGTGGGACTCCACCTGGTATTGTAGCAGCAGGCTTAAAACCTAAGTATTTAAAATTACTTTTTCAAATACAAGTTTTTTATTTTTCAGTTCTAGTTTGCAAGTTTTCTAAAACTTTTTTTGGGGCATGTAAAGTAATATATGTATATGTATTTTTTTTTTTTTAGCAGTAGTTGGTGCATTCATTGACTGCTGTGGACCGTTAGCTTTAAACTTCATTATCTTTGTCACATGATAGCAACAATGTCAATATAAGCATTCTAAAAATTGAGTAATGACTAATATTTCTTATTTGTAAAGAGATATTAAAGAAAGAATATTAATCCCTTTCCATTAACCCAAAAATATCTGGAAGCGTGTGCCAAAAGCTCTTTACAGTTGGCCTTGGACCTTATTTAGAAATAAGTAGAAACATTGCATAATTGGTCTCATGCTTCAGGATGAAATTGATCAATACAGTTCAGAAAGATGCTGAGAGTAAAAGGAGATTAGGAAATGGATTAGAACTAGCAGGATGAGCAAAGAATTACTTGATTATAAGGAAGACAAATCTTAAAAAGGCAATTGAAAATAGGCACAAAATTATATTAGCTAATTTAAGAAAAAAATCAGTGATTATAAATGTGCTAGAGTTCTATCAGTTCTGTTACTTCATTACAGGTATATCTGTATACATGTATAGTGCTTGCTGAAATAAGATGTAATTATTTTACCTCTACTCAAAGTGAAGGTATTTCTGAATTGTGTACACTGGAAGAAAGACAAAAAGTTTGCAGTTCAGTTTATGAAAGATCTGAATTGATGCATAGAGGTGCCTGTCTTTTCTACATGATTCTATAAAGAGTGTGTGGTGATGTTTAAGGGTAGGACTTCTGGTTTAAGTAAGCCAAACCTAGTCCTTGGAATGATCCTGCATTTGCTGTGCTCCATGAATGCAGCAGAGTGCATAGTTCAAACTGTACACATGAAGAGAATCACATCAGCTTTGGGAATTCACTGACAGGGCTTGGTAGGTTGGAACATTGCTGCTCAATAGTGGTTTTTTTTTAGAGTTTTTGTGATATAACTTTATGATGGCATTTCATGCTTAGTGAAAGAAATGTTTTAACTGACATACATACATACATATATATATATATATCTCAAAGTATTTTGTCACTTTCGTTAATCTAATAGTACTGAAATCTTCTTCCACGCTTTTAAATTTGCACAAGTAGAAAATGCTTTCTGACTTGTAATTCAGTGGATACATCAGCTAAACCACTCCTACTGCCTACTGATTTCTTTCCTGTTAAAAAGTCCTGAAGTGCTTCCTTACATCCTAACTGAAATGATTGCATTTGATTTTTAAATCACTTTTATGGTTTTTACAATTGAGTACATTATCATTCAATTGTGCAATTGAACTCATTAAGCGGTGAGTACTAAGGAAACTACAATTGGAAACTGGCTTAGTGGGCTATGTGGGTGGTAGGGGGATGACAATACTAGATTTTAGAGGGCTTTTCCAGTGTTAATGATTCTATGAGTATGAAAGCCACAGGCGTTTTGATAATGCTTTGAGTGTTAGTAAAAAGGGAAAGTTAAAAGCCCTGAAACAGTGATTTATAATAATTTATAGGATGTGCTTCACTAGAACATTGTGAGTAGAGTTCTAATACAAATATGAATTTGGTTTACTGTAACTTGAAAAAGTAGTAATTAAATAATTTTCTTACTAAAAGAGTTCTGTTGAAATTGCATGTAGCAAAACATACTTTCAATATTTGTCTTTAAGAATAGCTATCATTTTTATTAAAAACAATGTCCCTCTGGGAAGCTTTTTTCCCTCCCCTTGGAGATAGTACTTCCAGCTTTGTGAGAAATACTGTGATATCATGTAACATCAGAGGTTTCATTCTATCAGAGCATGGGCCATAAAATATGAAAACAATTAAGTTATGCAGTACTTCTGATACGCACCAACATCAGAAGTTACCTCCCTTTTCCTGTGGAGGTGTAGAACTGTGAGTGAAACAATGTAAATTCTCATTTTGGATCTATTTATTTCAGGACTTGAAAGAAGCAGTGCTGCTTAGTCCAGGTGATAGCCAGATCTTTCAAGCTATTGGAACCTGCCATTATCGGTAAGATATGTAGCTTCGGTGCAGAGTAGAAAAATGAAATAATTCCTAGAATTTACTTTTTTCATATTGAGGGCACTGACAATGGAGAGAAGGAAAAGTGGTAGAGAGGACTGCTTATTGTAGTGACACAAGGAGTCAGTCATTCCCATTTCACACAAATATCACCTAGGGTAAAAAGGGAATTTTAATGATTCTCTACCTATTAGTCAATTTTTTTTTTTTTTTCCCTAAGGTTACTGTGTCATCTATCTCTGTATAACCTTATTTCTTCTGAGGTAGTCTGGAAGTGGACATGTTCAGGTTTGTAGCATTAAAACTTCTTGTGTTACTGTGCTTGTAGTTAAAGCACTGCTGGCTCCATCTTTCAGTGTCTGAATGATTCTGAATTAACACAATGCTGAGTCCTGCTTCTAAAAAATGGTTTGTGTTTATATATATATATATATATATATATATATAGCTATTAAAAGATTCACTGGCAACTCATCTATTATAAACTTTTAAAAGTTTGTTTTTGCAACAGTTGTTCTACTTGGAAGAAAATCTACAACATTTAGTTTTTATCCTTTTGTTTCTTTGTTATCTTTGTCTATAATCCTTCCTTTTTTGTCAGGCTGTTCTTCAGGTAGATTCAAAACAGGTAGCTTACAATCAAAGAACATCTTTCAATTTTTTCTCAGTGAAATGCTTATTTATTTTGACACGTTGAAATTTTTGCTTTGTATGTAAAGGCACCTACTAGCACTCATTGACATGTCAGGTATTTCTGGAATTCTGTTTCTACTTGGAATACTCTCCAGATATATAAAATATTGTTTAAGGATGGAATTCCACATTTGGCCTACTCCTAAAACTAGAATTGGCTGAATATTGGCTCTTTTTTGCCCTGCCGTTTTTAACATAGTTTGGATAATTTTGAGAATCGATATGAGGGAAGTCAGATAATCTTAGATGTAGATGATTTATGACTGAAAACCTCTGCCTGAGCAGAATGCCAAAAGTATGTTTGGTCATGAGATTTGGATAGTGTGAATGACTCAGATGAAGTCTGTACTAGACTCTGCTCAGGACAAACGATGAAAAGTTGAAATCTTTGCCCAGCAGAAGTTGAATGAGTTTTGCTGCTTTCTTCTTCAGGCCAAGGATTTTAAACTGATGTTTGACTGTCTTCTGTTTATAATAACCATCAAGGTGCACATATAGAAAGCAAAGTTAAGAAATAGAGTATTCTCAGTCAGAGCTGAACTACTTCTTGAAGGCATTACGGCAGTCTTGTTTATAAATTTTCTAAGCATTGAACAGAGTTAATATTAATCTTTTTTTAGACTTAATGAGTTTGAAGACGCTGTGAGATCATTTAATCAGGTTCTCAGACTAGAACCCATTTCTGTGGAAGCCTATATTGGACGAGGAAATTCATATATGAAAACAGGACATGAGCCTAATCTTGAACAGGCACAGAAAGATTTCTTGAAAGCAATTCACCTGAATCCAATGTGTATGAAAGCCAGAATTTGCTTGGGGTACAACTTGCAGGTAACACATCAAAATTCATTGTAAATATGATGTATAATCTAACATAAAAATTAATATTATGTGTGTATTTCTATAGAATCATAGAATGGCTTATGTTGAAGGGGACCTTAAAAATCATGTAGTTCAAACCCCCTGCCATGGGCAGGGTTGCCAGGAACCAGACTGGCAATCCTTTCCATGCAAAATGCAAAATATAGAACAATCTGTGTACTTAAGACAGATTGTAGTGTTTTCTTTTTAAATCAGTGGATAGACCACACTTGTACCCAGTCATCTTGTATATCTGTTCTTAATGAAATAGCAAGTAACCTTACGTTTGACTTGCATATTTGATTATCTAGTAAATGAACATTAAGAACTTGTATATTTTGTGTGTATGAGCTGTTTACAGATTTAAGTGGCAAAAAAAGGAAATTGGTGTAAAACCATCTTATCTGTTCCAGTTATCTGTAATAATGTTAGCAAATCTAACAATATCCCTTGGAAAAGAGCTTGTGATCACTGAAAAATACTTAACTACATAGAAAATGTAATTCTATATTAGCAAAGGGATGTGAAATATGACTTGACAGTTTTCCTTCTTCTGTGTCTAATTCCTATGATTTACATACTCTGATTTATTATATCCACTTATCTGAAATGTCTTGAACTGTCATGAATCTTGCTGGGAGTTATTTTTACCAATGTAGCTGAGGGACTAATGTCAGTGGCTTGGGTCAGATCGTTTGGCGCAAGTATCAAAAATTTCCTTTACCTTACAGACTTACTAGTACAGTATTAGTACACTGCTTTCACAGTGGTCTGTGAAATAGTGTGAGAAAAAACTTGGAGGGGCCACATGGTTAGAAATTAGATCTCTCAGAGGCAGGAGGAAATCCAGAAAGTTCACGTATTGGCAGGTGCTTAATTTCAAGAGGCCTAAATCTCACTAAATGCCTTTTCTTCAGCCTGATCATACCTTAGGACTTAAACATACATGTGTGTGAGTATTTTGATGTGGGGAACTAGATATTTAGCTTTCCACCTTTACAATTAGTCTGTATTATTGCCACAGGGAAAGGGAAATCTGGAAGTATAAGGAGGGTATTTTATCAATGTATAAAAATACATAATGGAGGAGCACAGAGGAAAGAGGAACCAGGTTTTCCTAATGGTGTCTAGCGATAGGACAGGAATAAAAGGGCAGTAACTAAAATAGAGTAAATTCAACTGAAAAGTCAGATTATCATTATTATTTTTACTGTGAGGATGAGCTAAAGCTGAGAGTAATTACACACAGGCTGTGAAATCTCCATCCTTGAAGTTGTTTAAAACACAGCTGGACATGGTGCTGAGTGACCTGCTCTAGATGATCCTGTTTTCAGCAAGGAGTTAGGAATAGCCTCAACTATTTGGTTAATCTATGATTTAAGAAAAAAAAACATGTATGGTTGATATATAGCATAGTTATAAAGTCAATGATTATTGCACAATTAACAAAGCCTTGTAATTTATTTATTTATTTATTTATTACAATTTAGTAAATATAAGCATGCTTCCATATTCTGCTGTAGTTTTTTTAAGTTGGACCGTTAGTAGGGTTTTTGATACTTTGTAGATTTCTTATTGTGGGCATATTGCAATTCATTTTAGGCCATTGGAAAGCTCCAGAGTGCTTGGAACCAGTTAACAATTGTCATTGCTATTGATTCAAAATGCAATGCTGCATATGAAGGACGAGCTTCAGTGTCTCTTCAAATGGGTGAAGTTTTTTCTGCGCTTCAAGACATAAATGCTGCATTAAAGGTAGCTATTAGATTAAAGTGGTTTTACTAAGATTAACCTATTTCTATGAGGTCAGCCAATACTGTACATTGAACAATTGATGATTTTGATTAGAAAGTGTTCTTCTACTTCAAATAAATGCATTTTTGAAAAATGGCAGTTACTACATAAGTGTAAATTTTCCCTGAATAAGAGTGTCTCTGCTATCTCCTTCTAGCTCACTACTACTGCTCCACTGCTAACAAATCGGGGTATCATCAATCAGTTAATGGGGCATTTGTCCTGTGCCATGAAGGACTATCAACAGGCAATTTCTGTTGACCCCACCTATGCATTATCTTATTTCTGTGCAGCAAATATCTACTTCCATAATCATCAGTTTTCACAGGTAAGTCTTCAGAAAATTTATACTGTCTTTATGCTGTCTTCAGAGAACTTTTTTATTTGACTTATCTTTGTACCTACAGTATTTATTAATGTCTTCTAATATGCTTAACTTGACACTTTTTTACATTGTTTTTTTTGTGATCCTCTATCAGGACATTAATTTCAGTGTAGTAATTAGTAATAAGTAATTGCCCTACTATTATTTATTGCAGCATTGATATGAATTGAGATTCATGACAGTTAAGATACTCATCACAGAAATTTGTAATGGAGCACGGTACCAAAATCTCACTGATGTTAAGTAAGCTCCCTCAAGCCTAATTGCTGTGTGTTAAATAACTTGCCCAGACTCACCATAATACCATCAGGAAGAAAATTAAGAGAATCTTCTGCTGATGAGCTTCAGTCAAGAAGTCAGATCTTACATCTGTTAGTACAGTAACTTAAGAACTTTAAATAACTTTAAATAACCTAATTCTGCTAAAATACAGTATGCATCTTCCAAATACAGAGAAAATATTCAAATTCCTCCTGGGAGTATTCAAAACTTGAAGGCAAGAACCACTTGTTTTTCTCTCTGTGAGGAGGGCCCAGATTTTTTTTTTTTTTTCCATTTGGCTTTCTGTCATGCTGCTTATCACATTTCATGGGTAAAATCAGGCTTTTGACCAGAACATTATAGTCCAGCAGTTGTAGGAATGCAGAACCAGTAAAGATGCTTCAACACTTCTGATCAACTTGAATTAATCCCATACTAGAATTGCATCTGTAAACACTTCAGCCTGTAATTCACATGTTGAGAAATTCATCATGTATAGTACAGACTTGGCATATGGTTTGAAGTTGAGATTGTACTTCATACAGCACAAGAAATCAATGATGTCAGAAAGCAATTTACTGTTCCTGTTTGTTTCTCTGAATTAGACTCCTGTTGCTCAGTCAATAGAATTAGTCAAACATGGATCATAAATTCCTACAAGGCTACAAGACTACAAGGCCAGTGTCCTGCGTGTGGCTTCTCCTGTGATCTTGTACTCTCTTTTTATCTGCGTCTGGAATCATTCACCAAGACTTGTCTTGGAAGGGTTGTGTTTAATCTTTCCTATAGTTCTGTGATTCCTTACTCTGTCTCCCAGAAGCTGTTTCTTTATGGAGAAACAAGGAGTTGGACTATTAATTGCTTTGTATGTTAATCCAAACTGTCCCTAGTGTGTGGTTCATTTATTCTGTGCTATACTTACAATTCAGTGAAGCCAGCTGTTCCTTTTTCAGAAGTCTGTCTAGGTGACTACTGACCCTGTATTGGATGATGTGGTTAACTCTGGTAGGCAGCTAAGCTCCATGTAGCCGTTCACTCTGTCCCTACCAGTGTGATGTGGAAGAGAAAGGGTTAAAGTAAAAAATTCGTGAGTTGAGATAAAGACAGTTTGTAATATGTAAACTGTATGACAGTTTGAAATATATAAACCAAAGGCTGTGTGTACAAGCAAAGCAAAACAAGGAGTTCATTCACTACTACCCATTAGCGTGCATGTATTTAATCGTTTTCAGGAAAACAGGGCTTCATTGTACATTATGGTTACTTGACAAGACAGGCACCATCAGATTAAATTTATCTCCTCCATAGTTCTTTCTCCCAGATTTTGATGAGCTCAGTGCTGTATAGAATCATTAAGGTTGGAAAAGACCACTAAAAGCATCCAGTCCAACCATCAACTGTGGTGTGAAATATCACTTTCATCAGGTAGGGCCAGCTGTTCTGGCCATGTGGATGCTGTGTGTGCCTCTTTTCTATGTGCAAATAATGCTAAACAGAATGTTAAAATTTGAGGAATGTTTATTCAGTCTATTTTATCTCCAATTCATGTTTTTTATAGGCTTATTGCTATTATTCAGAGGTACTAAATCTTGAACCAAGAAATGAATCTGCTATCATGAATCGTGCTGTTACAAATACAATATTAAAAAATTTTGAAGAGGCAAAAGAAGACTTTGAGAAGGCAGTCTGCCTCTGTCCATGCTCTGCAGCGGTGTATTTTAACAGGGCAAACTTCTATAATGCATTAAAGCAGTATGAGCTAGCTGAGAAAGACATTTCAACAGGTAATCTTTTTTACCTACTGTATAGTAGCATACTGGAAATTATGGTAAGCAACTTGGTTTTATTTCATAACTCAGCAACTGTGTATGTATTTTTGCTAATGCTTTCTAACTAATTTGATGTGATATTGTGATGTGAATAGAAAGAGGAAGACTGATTAATTTCAGACTTTGTTCCAATCTTATAAAGAATTATGTAGATTGGAAGGAAAAAAACCTTCATATTGTCATAGCAGCTGAACGTGTTCGGAACCATGTTCTAAACAAAATTGCTGAAATAAGTGCAGGAAAATACGTACCAAAATTTTTGTACGTCATGAGGATTCTAGGTGACATGAACCAGGGTTTCATGTAGCTTATTTCATGTATTAGGAAGAAATTTAGTGTGTGCTTATCCTAGAACAAGTTTTAAAATGGTATTAGTCTTCCATAAGATTTTGTGGGAGAATAGCATGGTTTGTAGAGAAGAGGAGCTGAATCAAGTTTTTATCAAGGTCCGGCACATGGGTTGGGGCAATTTCAAGCACAAATACAGGTTAGGTGGAGAAGGGCTCGAGTGCAGCCCTGAGAAGAATTTCTGGGGCGTGCTGGTTGATGAAAGATTCAGTGTGAAATGGCAATGTGCGCTTGCAGCCCCAAAGGCCAACTGTATCCTGGGTTGCATCAAGAGAAGCATGACCAGCAGGTTGAGGGAGGTGATTCTGCCCCTCTACTCTGCTCCTGTGAGACGCCACCTCGGTCTAATTCTGGGACCCCAACAGAAGTAGGACATGGAGATGTTGGAGCAGATCCAGAAGAAAGCCATGAAAACGATCAGAGGGCTGGAGCATCTCCCCTTTGAGGACAAACTGAGAGAACTTCAGACTGGAGAAGAGAAGGCTCCGAGGGGACCTTATGGCAGCCTTCAAGTACCTGAAGGGGGCATACAGGAAGGCTGGGGAGGGACTTATAAGGTCAAGTAGTGACAGGACAAGGGGAAATAGTTTTAAACTGAAAGAGGGTAGATTCAGACTAGATATTAGGAAGAAATTGTTTATTGTGAGGATGGTGAGACACTGGAACAGATTACTGAGTGAGGCTGTGGATGCTGCCTCCTTGGAGGAATTAAGACCAGGCTGGATGGGGCTTTGAGCAACTTGTCTAGAGGAAGCTGTCCCTGCCTATACCAAAGGGGTTGGAACTAAATCTTAAAGGTCCCTTCCAACTCAAATAATTCTATGATTTTATCTTGATCTTTGTGAAATAGAAACATTTTGTTTAGGTTCAGAATAGCTGAACCATATTACTCCCTTGCTACTGCTATCCTTGATACTAACCAGAGATCCAGCAACTCTGGACACACAGGCCACTTCTTCCTGGAAACTAAAGCTGTATTTAGTTTGTATTAATTTTATGGAACAAAATTTAGTAATAGACTTTAATTTGACAACATTTGTTTGCACAAACAGTGAACTTTCTATAAAGAATAACTCCAAGTTGTAGATTTTCTTTTTGAAAAATTAGCTATTTTTACAGTAAGATTTATCAAAATTATCTTGGTTTTTGTGACTAATAATAATTACATCTTGGCTTTAATGACTATTCCATAGTGTTTTAATAGTGAAAATTGACTAGACTACTAATTTTCTCTCTAAAGCAGAATTTAAAACAGCAGATGAAACTTCCCATCAATTTCCCAAGTATTTCTAATATAAAAGAGAAACTGAGTAGGATATTGGGTTGCTTGCCATGTTGTAAAATGTGGATGGTGAGAGTGTTTTCTCTTTAAGATTTTGCTCATTTTACATAGGACAGCATAGTTCCTGCTGTTAGGGCAGTGTTGAAGGTGAGATGTGTAAATTGCATCAAAAAGAAAATAAAATCTAAGAAATAAGTGTTGTGACAAAGTTGCCTACCTTTTCATGGAACATCAGCACAGGTAATGTTTTCTCTTATGAAAACATGCTTGGAGAAGAATCAGAACACAAACTTTTTGACAATGCTTCTTTGCCTGCATTAGCAAGGGGGGTTGGACTTGGTAATCTCTGAGGTCCCTTCCAACCCCTGCAATTCTGTGATTCTCTTTACCTAACATTCTATTTCTGATTTTTACAGCATTGTCAATTCAGCCTAATGATGCCATGATGTACAGACTTAGAGCTGATATTCGTGCTAAATTGGGTTTCAGTAGAGAAGCTATAGAAGACTACAAGCAAGCAATCAGCATACAAGAACAGACTGACTACACGTGAAAAGACATTGGTTCTATTTACACATTTCTCACACTTTAATTAAAAAGTCCAATGTGCAAGAAATATTTTAATATGTTTTATACACATTGTATTTTCCTAACTACTGTAATTACTTTGTTTCAGCCAGAGTTATGAGAACAGAATGCCATATTTTAATTGTTACCTGTTATAAATCGTTCTTTATTTCTTAATGGTTGAAAAAACATTTAATTGTTTGGTAAATGAAAGTAGTAGTAATTACAAACAAAAAGCTTGAAATTCTGGTGACAGAAGGATGAGAGAGATATGCTACCAACCAGTATAAATGCTTACAGTGATGGTGGTTGTATGTTGCCTGGACCATCTAAGAAGTAATAGTTTTAAGGTTGATGGCTATCAAATGCTGATAACTGCTAACTAGGTCTCACTTTTTACTTCATTGTACTTCTACACCTCTTAATAATATTCCCTGTCCCCTGCCACTGGCAGTAGACAATGTGTAACATATGCTGTTGTGGTGCATGAAAACTGCTCCAAGAAGTTGAATTTGAGAGGAAGGTGTAATTCATCCTGAAAGCAAAGTTGAGATCACTTTCTTCTGTGTAAATGTATTACAGTGTATCAGCTTTGAAGAGCCATATAAAAATCACAGAATCACAGAATCACAGAATCACCCGGGTTGGAAGGGACCTCAAGGATCATGTAGTTCCAACCCCCCTGCCTAGCAGGGCCACCAAACACACACATTCAGATCAGGTTGCCCAGGACCCTGTCCAACCTGGCCTTAAACACATCCAAGGACGGGGCATCCACAACCTCCCTGGGCAGCCCGTTCCAGGGCCTAACCACTCTCCTTGTATAGAACTTCCCCCTAACATCCAACCTAAATCTTCCCTCCTTCAACTTCGATCCATTTCCCCTAGTCCTGCTGTTGTCAGCCCTTTTGAAGAGTTTACTCCCCTCCTGGGCGTAGGTTCCCTTCAGGTATTGATAGGCTGCAATGAGGTCACCCCGCAGCCTTCTCTTCTCCAGGCTGAACAAGCCCAACTCCCTCAGCCTGTCCTCATAGGGGAGGTGCTCCAGCCCCCTGATCATCTTAGTCGCCCTCCTCTGGACCCTTTCCAAAATCTCTATGTCTTTCTTGTACTGAGGGCTCCACACCTGGACACAGTACTCCAGATGGGGCCTCACAAGAGCCGAGTAGAGAGGGACGATCACCTCCCTGTTCCTGCTGACCACCCCTCTCCTGATGGAGCCCAGGATCCCATTTGCCTTTCGAGCTGCCAGAGCGCACTGCTGGCTCATGTTCAGTCTCTCGTCCATCAGGACCCCCAGGTCCTTCTCTGCCGAGCTGCTCCTGAGTAATAGACCATAGGTTTTGTTCTAAATTTATAAGAATCAATAGATATGGAGATATAAGTATGAATCAATGTGATCAACATTAAAAAAATGTCAGGCTCTGCTCACGTGCTAAATTAAACCCCCTAGTTTTGGCATACTATAGAGAAGGATGGAGCTAAATTGTTGTCTTTGCCTTAGAAAAGTGAAGAATTTTTTTTTTTTTTTTTGCACTCCAAAAGTGATTTTTTGTTAAGTTGTATTGTTGAGATGAAAGTAAAAAATGTCACTGATTTTTGTCATTAAAAAAATCACATTTTATTTTCTGAGTACTTAACACAATGCTTTACACTCTTTTTGTGTAGTCCCTGTTCTTCATACCTATGTGGTAATTGTGTAGCCAATATAACAGACAAGAAGTTTAGCTTTGTTCTGGCAGCTAAATTTTGCATTTGTAATATCATATTACATTATGAACATTTCTATGCTTGTCATACTTATGATTTTAGGCTGAAAAAAAAAAAAGTACTGGAAATTGAGTATCACAACTAATGCCTTAATTCAGAGAAGCATTTGACTCTATCCCTGCTCTCCTTGATTGCCCTCTTATTTTGGTGCTTAACACCTACAGTGATGAGACTTTGTACTTTGTAAGATCTGTTACGTTATGGTTGACTGGAATAGATGAAGCGAAATGCATACAAGTTAAGAAAAAAGAATCCCCATGTATTCTATACTTAATTTTTCTATATTTATGATTAGTCTTTCTTTAAAAACAGACATTTATAAGCTAAATTAAAACAGGTATAGATGTTCTATGATGATACATTAATATTAATGTTTGGTATTGTAACATGGAGTATTGCAACCTACACAAGTAGATCAAGTATAATTTACAGTGTATACATTTACATGCATCTATACTTAAATGCATGATTATCATGGTTGTTAATGCAAACTAGGAAACTATTTACCTGATTTCCTGTATGTGCTCAAATCCAAACTTTTCTTGCAAAGTGGTTTCAATGTGATGCAAAAATGGGGTCTTTTTTCCCTTTCTCTTTCTCCACATTTCTCTCAGTTCTCTTTATTATCTGAAGAATTGTTTATTGATGAAATCGTTAAATTATGCATGATTCTATGGCATTTTCCTTTCTTTGATCTCCTTATGAATTACCTGCTGATGGGTTGTGAGATAGCAATGCCCTCATCGTGTATAGAACATCATCAAAGTTAAATCAGAATGAAGAGGTCAAACTTTTCCCTTAGATCCTTTTCTTGAGGTATTCAGTGCTGATTTTCTTTAGCTAAACTCCTTTTGAATGTCAAACACAAATGGGCATTTATAAGATTTTTATCTTCACATTTAAAACATGAAACTAAGGACAATCCGTTATGACTCACTATTGAGAGAATAACTTAAATGACACGGGTTATTGTTTTCCCTTCTGCTTGTTCTAATTTTATATTCTGGATGGTATTTCCAATTCTTAAAAAGTGAAAAACTGTGTCATTCTCTGGCTCCATGGAGGTTTGGGTTTTTTTTTTTCTTCAGAGTTTTTCATCTCAGTGGTGACCCAGTGTATTTCTGATTTCATAATTTAGCATCACACTCATTCACAACTTAGGGAGCATGCTAGATGCTTGTGAAAGATGCTGTGGATGAAGAATATATTTGCACAATATAACAAGAAGGGTTCAGGTTGCATGATTAAAAAACAACAACAACAAGCAACATGATTTCTTTGAAAAATAAATTACTGTCTCTTTTCTTCAAATAGTTCTTCTAAGTTTTCTTTATAATATAAATACTTTCTAAACCTTTCTGAAAGTCAGTGGAAGTGTTTTGTGTAATAGTACTTCCTTGTTTTTTAAAATAAAGTTGCTATCAAGGATAATAGTGATTCCAGTCTTCTTTCCACTAAATTACAATTGTATTTTGCAGGCTGTACAGTAACACTTGAACTTCTATGTTGGAAGGCACTAGGATTGCTGCAGCCTGGACTTTGCGCAATTCAAAGTGGGATGGTTACTAAAGTCTGAGATTTCTTCCACTGCTAGTAATAGATCCAGTGAATTTTAATACTTGGTACTACCAAAGCAAATTTGCTTTCCAAACTCATTTTAAGAGAAGCTCTTGTCTGTTGTTATATAGTGGTAGTAGTTCTTCCTGTGTTTACAATATTTTCAGTGGAGCTTAATTTTTTTCTGTATTTCTTATTTTACCCCAAACAAATCCATTTAACCGTAGAATCCTTATTTGGAAGGGACACATAAAAGTAATTTTTTCCATCTCCCTGCCGTGAACAGAGATGTGCACTGCTAGATCAGATTTATGTAATGAAGGGCAAAATACATAAGGAATGGAACATCTCTCTTGCTTTTGTATTGCATTTGTATGTGTTATGCTTTACTGTTAAGGACTGCACTACCTGTGATCCAACAGAGCTCTACTTTGCTAAACTAATTTTGCTGTAGTATCAGTGAAATTGTGGTGTTTTTACACAGTCTAATAGTGATAGCAGAAGGGAAAATGTCTTAAGATTAGATGTTAAGAGAAAATTTTTCACTCAGAGTGCTGAGGCCCTGGCACAGGTGCCCGGAAGCTGTGGGTGCCCCATCCCTGGAGATGCTGAAGGCCAGGCTGGATGGGGCCATGGGTGGCAGCCCGAGCTCGTGAGGGGCAGCCCTGCACATGGCACGGGTTGGGGCTGGGTGGGCTTCAAGATTGCTTTCAACCCAAGCCTTTCTGTGATCCTATGTGCTCTGAAAGAAACAGTGCGAAGAAGACAATGTGTTAAGAAACCTTTTTTCAAAAGAAGAATTTATGTGAGAGTGCCAGCAGATGGCAGCCTGTAATCTCAAGTGGGAGAACTTTGCTGGGAGTGGGAGAACCAGGACAGATCAGTTATACTGGCATCTGCTGCTCCTTGTTCTGAGGAGGGATTACTGTATAACTGATTGGTGTGTGCTAGGGTCTGCTGCTTAATTGACAGTATTGTTCTCTTACTTCCTTTTTTATATGCTATATACAATTATTTTACAATAAAATAAACACCTTGCAAGATTTTAAGTAATAGACAATGTTAATATTCTGAGTTAGTTATGTATTACTATAATATAATATTTAGAGACTAAACATATATTTACATGTGTGCATGCTTGTATGCAGGCATATAGAGTAATGCAAGCAGTAAACAGCACAAGTCTTGAATAACAGCTCCAGTTGTGTGCTGTTTTTTTCTCTCCAATTTTGAGGCACATTTCTACAAAATGAGGCATTCAGAAAAGAAGGGGAAAGAGCGTGGAAGCTTTTAACTGCTCCCAGCTGTTATATTTTACAGCAGGTTGCTTTAGATTGTATGCCACTTTTTATTTGCTGTATGAAGTCTGTAATTTAGTTTTGTTACAAAGGGAAAAGTGACCTTTGTGAGACTCTCTCTCTTTCTCTCTCTCTTTCTCTCTTTTTTTTTTTTTCCATTCTCAAGATTGGCACAATGTTTCATTTGCAGAAAGTGAAAATGAAGCGCCTTCTCCCTGAGAGAAAAACAAAAACCAAGCCCAACCAAACCAACCAACAAACAAAAACAACAATGCAACAGACAAGTTTAACAGCAGTGTGGCAAACAGCTTACTTACAACTCCCCAGATGTAAATCTACAGTGCGTAAGCAAGTTTATATTGCGCAAAATAGTTTTATCGAGTAGTGTGTGCAACTTCATTTTGCAATCTCTTAAACATACTGTTTACTGACTTTGTTCACATGGGGAGATAATGCGCAAAGTCTGCAGGGCAAAAAATGTGCTAGAAATGCATATGCCGTATTACTTGAGAGTAGCTTCCCAGGCGGGCTACTGTAGTGTAAAGGATGTCATCATGTGCTGGATTTAACTCTAGTCTTGCTAAAAAGTCTGGTATAAACTGATGAAAAGCTTGTATTGGACATGGCAAAGTGGGGTTCTGCTACTCTTAGAGATCCCTTTTCCTCAAAAATACTAGGTGGCAACGAATGTTGGAGCTATTCTGTGTATCCTTCATACATATGCCTAGTCACAGACCCTTTTCCAGTGATCTTCTATCCTAATGTTGTCAGTCAAGGAAGAGCTTATTAAGAGTATTTATATGTGTATCCTTAAATATAGCAAGTATTTACCTTTTTCCAGGTTGAGATGATCATCCTTGTAATTGAGAACGTGGTTAACTAGAGGAATCCTTAACAGCAATGCTATGACTAAGCTTGTCTTTGGAGACAGAAGCTTCTTGAGACAACATGCAATTAATTAGAATGCATAGCTGGTCTGCAGGTAGAGAGAAGAGCCCTGTCTTTAACAGAC